TAGAGAGGGAAACCCCTTTCATCACCACTTCCAACTCATCCTTTCCTGCCAATATCCAACCAAGGAGATGTGGAGGGAAGGAGGTTTCCGAGACCCTGTCACTTGCTGGATCAGGAACATGAGAAGCTGCCTTCTACTGAGTTGGATCACTGATCAGCCTAGCTCAGTATTGCCTACAGTTCTGCAGGGTTCCGGGCAGGAGTCATTTCCACCCCTTCTTGGAGATACTGGGCTTTCAACCCTGGGACCTTTCAAATGCAAAGCAGATTGTGATGGCCTGGGAATCAGATTCAGAGGCTGAACTTGAGGAATCCCAGCCTGCACAGGAGTCCCTGCCTCCAGAGCCAGCTGAGCCGGGACTGGGGCTTGAGCCTGAAGGGTCCTCACCTGTGCTGGATCCTCAGGTGCAGGCACCAGCTGAGTCTGCTCTGGCTCCTGAGGTGATGGAGGACCCATTGCCTGCAGGTGCTCCACTCTCAGCCCCGTCGGGGAAGCTGAGGTTGCCTCTGGGTCCGGTAACCCTCCAGCCTCTCCTGAGCTGCAGAGGCTCAGGGCAGAGAGGCGGAGGGAACTAAGTTCCCGCAGGAGGAGTGCTCGCCTCCAGGCCAGGAGAGGCGAGTCACCTGTGGACCGGGGCCGCCCTATGCCTCAGGGCAGATAAAAGCCAGCCAGCCCCAGTCCCAAGTTGTGGAAGCAACATTGTTGGTAACCTGTTCCTGCCGGCACCCTGTCCTGCTTTTTTCCAGAGTTCCTGACCACGCCCGACTCCCTGCCTTGGACCCCGTTTCAGCCTTGACGGACAGCCTCCATACCGCACCCTTGACCTCGGACTGGACTCGGACCATGCCGCATGGTAACCCCCTGGGACCAGCACACAGATGTTCTACCTTGCACAGGTAGGCTTTAAATTGGCTGAGTGTCCAGGTTGCGAACATTGCATTACTGTCAATGAGTATCCTGATGGGAAGACATGTTTGGATGCACTTCTGAGAGTGTGTGCATTCAAGAGAAAGCAATGCAGTAGAGACCAGCTCTGCACTGAGATGTGCATTTGGACAGGCATTCTATTCAACCCTTTGCGCCCACCAAACTTTGGCCCTCCAGATGTTGCTGCTCTACAACTCCCATAATCCCTGACCATTGGCTATGCTTGCTGGGGCTGATGGGAGTCGTTGTTCAGTCGGCAACATCTGGAGGGCCAGAGGTTCCCCACACTGCCTTAAATGTTTAGAAGGCCATTGGGGAGGAGAGAGAGGAAATGCACCAGACACAACTGCCAGTTCTCATGCACAAGCAAGCACACTTGCACACCACACCCAAGACTGTATGCGTAATGTTTGTGTGTGGGTTTGTGACAGGTCTGGTTCCTGATGAGGCCTTATCCTTCATGAATTTGTCTAATATTCATTTGCAGCCATCCAAGTTGGTGGTACGGGACGCGGGTGGCGCTGTGGGTTAAACCACAGAGCCTAGGACTTGCCGATCAGAAGGTCGGCGGTTCAAATCCCCGCAATGGGGTGAGCTCCCGCTGCTCGGTCTCTGCTCCTGCCAACCTAGCAGTTCGAAAGCACCTCAAAGTGCAAGTAGGTTAATAGGTACTGCTCTGGCGGGAAGGTAAACGGCGTTTCCGTGCGCTGCTCTGGTTCGCCAGAAGCGGCTTAGTCATGCTGGCCACATGACCCGGAAGCTGTACGCCGGCTCCCTCGGCCAGTAAAGCGAGACGAGCGCCGCAACCCCGGAGTTGGCCACTACTGGACCTAATGGTCAGGGGTCCCTTTACCTTTAAGTTGGTGGTCCTCATTGTCTCCTGTGGCAGTGAGTTCCATAGTTTAACTGGGCACTGTGTGACATCTGTCCTGAATCTTTCAACATTCAGCTTCAAGACAGTCCTCAGCCTGCCTCCTGTGAGTCATGGGGGCCTAAGCCCTGAGTCTTTTGGGGCTCAGATCTCCTACCCTGCACCCCATTTCTAAACTTTAATACACACACACACACACACACTGCTTACAGGTCTGCTGAACGTGCTTTAACACATAATTCCTGGGAGGCCTCTAACACACACCATCTTAATTTGCTCAGAGACCTAAACTTGCATCACTGCATATGGAAATCATATGCAAATTACGGCCATATGGGGGGGGGTGCCCTGAAGCAACACCCCTGTGCTGATCAGAAGAAAAAGATTCTTCTGAATTCTGCAGCCCCAGAGGCCTCTCTTGGAAGAGTCTCTGCTAGGGGAGCTGTTCCTGGAGAGCTTGAAGAGGGAAAGGGAGATTTATGGCCCTTAAGTGTGAACTGCCTGGTGATATATCCAATCTGCTGCTGCTGCTGCTGCTGCTGGGGAGGATAGCTTAAGATGCATCACTGGGCAGAACAATGAAGAGGAAATCCAAGGCCCCTACTGGAGAGAGGCTGTGGTGTAAGAGTAAACTCAATTGGGCGGGGGGATGAGACTTTCCTCAATAATAATAAGAATAATATTTATTTATACCCCACCCTCCCCAACCAAGACCGGGCTCAGGGCGGCTAACAACCAATAATAAAAACAAGTTGATTGAAATACAACTTAAAAAACAAGATTAAAATACAACAGTAAAACAATTAAAACATAAAAATGCAGCCTCACCACAGGAGGAGAAAGGAAAAAAGAAAGAGGGGGAGGGAATCAAATTGACTCCAAGCCAAAGGCCAGGCAGAACAACTCTGTCTTACAGGCCCTGTGGAAAGAAATCAGATCCCGCAGGGCCCTGGTCTCATGAGGCAGAGCGTTCCACCAGGCCGGAGCCAGTGTTGAGAAGGCCCTGGCTCTGGTTGAGGCTAATCTAACTTCCTTAGGGCCCGGGACCTCTTTGTTGTTTAGTCGTTTAGTCGTGTCCAACTCTTCGTGACCCCCTGGACCAGAGCACGCCAGGCACTCCTGTCTTCCACTGCCTCCCGCAGTTTGGTCAAACTCATGCTGGTAGCTTCGAGAACACCGTCCAACCATCTCGTCCTCTGTCATCCCCTTCTCCTTGTGCCCTCCATCTTTCCCAACATCAGGGTCTTTTCCAGGGAGCTTTCTCTTCTCATGAGGTGACCAAAGTATTGGAGCCTCAGCTTCAGGATCTGTCCTTCCAGTGAGCATTCAGGGCTGATTTCCTTAAGAATGGAGAGGTTTGATCTTCTTGCAGTCCATGGGACTCTCAAGAGTCTCTTCCAGCACCATAATTCAAAAGCATCAATTCTTCGGCGATCAGCCTTCTTTATGGTCCAGCTCTCACTTCCATACATCACTACTGGGAAAACCATAGCTTTAACTATACGGACCTTTGTCGGCAAGGTGATGTCTCTTCTTTTTAAGATGCTGTCTAGGTTTGTCATTGCTTTTCTCCCAAGCAGCAAGCGCCTTTTAATTTTGTGACTGCTGTCACCATCTGCAGTGATCATGGAGCCCAAGAAGGTAAAATCTCTCACTGCCTCCATTTCTTCCCCTTCTATTTGCCAGGAGGTTATGGGCCTAGTGGCCATGATCTTCCTTTTTTTGATGTTGAGCTTCAGACCATATTTTGCGCTCTCCTCTTTCACCCTCATTAAAAGGTTCTTGTATTCCTCCTCACTTTCTGCCATCAAGGTTGTGTCATCTGCATATCAGGAGGTGATGGGCCCGGGACCTCTAGGCTGTTGCTATTTATGGACCTTAAGGTCCTTCGTGGGGCATACCGGGAGAGGCAGTCCCGTAGTTACGAGGGTCCTAGGCCGTGTAGACAAGCAAAGAATGGAGCTGTCCCTGTGATGTCTTCAGTTAGAACAAACATATGTTTGGACCCCCCCGGCTCATCTAAACTCGATGATGGGGACGGGCTGTAGCTCAATGGTAGAGCTTCCGTTTTGCATGGAGGAGATCATAGGTTCCATCCCCAGCATCTCCAGGTGAGGCTGGGAAGGTACCCTCTCTGGAGGGTCTCTTGTCAGTCACTGTGGACAATACAGAGCTAGATGGACCAAATGACCTGACCAATTAGAAGGCAGCTTCCCATGTTCCTATGCTAAGTGAATAGAGGGAGTTGAGGGGTGGGGTTTGAGAGCAGCAACATCAAATGCTTCAGCATGGTAAGAGACCATGGTTCAAATCCTCACTCTGCCATGGAGATCACTGGGCAACCTTGGACCAGTCGCTTTCTCTCAGCCTAACCCACCTCTCACAGCCATGGTCTGAGGATCAGTTGGTGATCTCAATGGACTATAAGCGGCTATAGGCGAAATAAATATACAGTGGTACCTCAGGTTACATACGCTTCAGGTTACAGACTCCACTAACCCAGAAATAGTACCTCGGGTTAAGAACTTTGCTTCAGGATGAGAACAGAAATTGTGCTCCAGTGGCGCGGCAGCAGCGGGAGGCCCCATTAGCTAAAGTGGTGCTTCAGGTTAAGAACAGATTCAGGTTAAGAACGGACCTCCTGAACGAATTAAGTACTTAACCCGAAGTACCACTGTACTTGGGGTTTTGTGGAATAGTAAAAATATACAGCCGTACCTTGGAAGTCAAACTTCCAAAACTTCCGTTTGACTCCCAAAACATTCGAAAACCAAATTGCGGCTTCTGATTGGCTGCAGGAAATCCCTCATGATCAGGAATACAAAATGAGCCATTTCCTTCCATTTTTATACTTGTACCCTGATAGCTGCATAGCACATAAAAAGCTTTACAGTGGTGCCTCGCAAGACGAAATTAATTTGTTCCACGAGTCTCTTCGTCTTGCGGTTTTTTCGTCTTGCGAAGCACGGCTATTAGCGGCTATTAGCAGCTATTAGCGGCTTAGCGGCTATTAACGGCTTAGCGGCTTAAAGAAAAAGGAAAGAAACTCGCAAGAACTCGCAAGACGTTTCGTCTTGCGAAGCAAGCCCATAGGGAAATTCCTCTTGCAGAACGACTCAAAAAACGGAAAACTCTTTCGTCTAGCGAGTTTTTCGTCTTGCGAGGCATTCGTCTTGCGGGGCACCACTGTATTTGAATGTCTGCCACCTTCTGCCTGGTTCTATCTTAAGACCGGTCAGATGCAGGCTCCATGGCTTCAACATCACTATGTCTAGGAAACACCCCTCATTATTTCAGTAATGCTGCCAAGGATGCTGGGGTGCGACATCACAAAGGAGTGAATGACATCAGGTGTGTGATGTAAGACTGCTTCTGTTTTCTGATCAGTGTTGTCTTACTGGGATTTCTACCAGTAGCACTTCTCTTTTGCTTTGGGTGGGAGATCTTCCTGTGTGGGAATTATACGCAAAAGGAGAAACTGACACCACATTCAAAATTTGCTGGGGAATTTTGAAATTAAAAAAATAGGAAATTTCAAAATAATGACATTTACAGATTTCACTTCAAAATTCATATATGAAAGTATGGCTTTCAAAAAAAACAGAGCTTCCATTTTAAGTTAAGTCAGTGCTGGGCATAGGTAGGATTTATGTTGTGGGAGGGACCAGATTTAAGTTAGAAGGGACAGAACTGAGGTATCTGTGACACGACTGGTCAGTTAAGAATTTTTATTTATTGACTAGATTTAGGGGGGCAGCTGCCTCACCATCCCCTTTGGCTGTGCCCATGATGTCAGTAAATTTCAAGGCAACAGTGTCATGTGCGAGCTTGCTGGGCTTACCTTACAAAATTTTGAAAATTTGATGGCTAGATTTGACCTAAAAAAATGGACATACGGGTTTCAGTGTTGAAGCTTGAACTCAGCATTATAGCTGTGTCTGTTTCAGTAAAGGTAAAGGGACCCCTGACCATTAGGTCCAGTCGTGGCCGACTCTGGGGCTGCGGTGCTCATCTCGCTTTATTGGCCGAGGGAGCCGGCGTACAGCTTCCGGGTCATGTGGCCAGCATGACTAAGCCGCTTCTGGCGAGCCGCTTTCGAGCAGCGCACGAAAACGCCATTTACCTTCCTGCCGGAGCAGTACCTATTTATCTACTTGCACTTTGACGTGCTTTCGAACTGCTAGGTTGGCAGGAGCTGGGACCGAGCAATGGGAGCTCACCCGTCACGGGGATTCGAACCGCCGACCTTCTGATCGGCAAGTCCTAGGCTCTGTGGTTTAACCCACAGCACCACCCGCATCCCTTCATCTGTTTCAGTGGGTTTAATTAATTACTTTAATATTTAACAGGGGTGGGTGAACCTTAGGCTTTGGCTGTGGCGTAGGAAGGGGGGTGCGGGAGTGCAGACTGCCCCGGGTGTCATCACTGGGGGGGTGGGTGTGAAAAAATGGCAAAAACATGTTTTTGGAAAAATAACTTCCGCACCCACTACACCCCCCCTTCCTACACCGCTGCAGGAGCACTGAGTGATTTCCAGAAACCAGTTGCTGCCTCCAACTTTGCAGGCAGAGCGCTGCCTTTATGGCCAGTAGCCTGCAACAGCCCTCTCCTCCATGAATCTGCCTAATCCAGAGGCATAGCTAAGTGTGGCGGGGGGCACTGGGCGCCACACCCGCAGGGCCTGCAGCATGCCTGAGCCACACGTCTCTGCTGAAGGGGAGGCGGCTGGTGGACTGTCTGCAAGCTATACATTGCTTTTTCGATCAGCGCAGGGCTTGCGTCTGCCCACCGCCTCAGCCGCCCTACAGCTGAGGGGGAGGTTGTGGAGAAGCTCCACGCAGCACACTCTGCCTTGACTCACCTCGCCCCCATGGGTGGCTCGTTCTGCCCCTGGCCGCAGGGTGCGCATGCCCCCCTGGGCACCCGAGCGGCTAGCAACGCTGCTAAGCTTTGTTGGCCAAATGTGGCCTTTTAGAGTTCTATAAAATTTCTATAAGATTTCTATAGGATTTCCATTCTGAAGGAAATCCATTCTGAAGGAAATCAGCCCTGAGTGCTCACTGGAAGGACAGATCCTGAAGCTGAGGCTCCAATACTTTGGCCACCTCACGAGAAGAGAAGACTCCCTGGAAAAGACCCTGATGTTGGGAAAGATGGAGGGCACAAGGAGAAGGGGACGACAGAGGACGAGATGGCTGGACAATGTTCTCGAAGCTACAAACATGAGTATGACCAAACTACAGGAGGCAGTGGAAGACAGGAGTGCCTGGCATGCTCTGGTCCATGGGGTCACGAAGAGTCGGACACGACTAAACAACAAAACAACAAGATTTTGTATGTAGACCAAAACCAACCCCTTCGCCTTGACTAATTGGCAGCCAGTGCAGCTCCTTCAGCATGGTGTGTGTGTGTTAGGGTGCTCCACTGGACAACTTAGCAGCTTCCTTCTGCTCCAGCTGCAGCTTCCACGACAATTTTAATGGAGCGCCATCAAAGCACATTAGAATAACCCAGCCTTAAGGTTACCAACACATGGATCGCGGCAGCAGGGCTATCCCTCTCTAGGAATGGTTATAGTGGGTGTTCCAGCCAAAACTGGCATTGGATCCTTGCTGTTGAAGTCACTTGGGCCTCCAATGACAGAGTTGGATCCAGGAGTGCCCTGGATCATGTACAGTACCAATCTCTTGGGCATGATTTGTGGAAAGGTGAGCCATTTTCTTATTCCACAGAAAACACTTCTTTCCCAAAGGTAGCTTAAGCGTGAAAGATCTTGCGGATACTTTCATATGTTGTTTACGCCACACTGATGTGCAAAGCAATGGTTTTATAGAGATTTCAATGGTTTATGATAGGGCTGACATTGTTCCATGGTGTAGTAGTAGTAATAATAATAATAATAATAATAATAATAATAATAATAATATTTTTATTTATAATATTTTTATTTATACCCCGCCCTCCCCAGCCAAGGCCGGGCTCAGGGCGGCTAATGAGCAATAATAAAAACAAGTTGAATGAATACAACTTAAAAACAAGATTAAAATGCAACAATTAAAATATTGAAAGATTAAAATATTAAAATGCAGCCTCATCACAGGAGGAGAAAGGAAAAAGAGGGGGAGGGAATCAAATTGGCTCCAAGCCAAAGGCCAGGTGGAACAACTCTGTCTTACAGGCCCTGCGGAAAGAAATCAGATCCCGCAGGGCCCTGGTCTCATGAGACAGAGCGTTCCACCAGGCTGGAGCCAGTGTTGAAAAGGCCCTGGCTCTGGTTGAGGCTAATCTAACTTCCTTAGGGCCCAGGACCACTAGGGTGTTGCTATTTATGGACCTTGAGGCATACCGGGAGAAGTGGTCCCGTAAGTACGAGGGTCCTAGGCCGTGAAGGGCTTTAAAGGTCAAAACCAGCACCTTAAATCTGACCCTGTACTCCACCGGGAGCCAGTGCAGCTGTACACAGTGTACACAGATTGGCACACATTTGTTTATTTTGTAATGCTACAATCTCAGGTCAAACAAGTTCAGCAGGTTTTTGAAGCGCCAAAACCTATTTTGCCCAAGATTGTCATGGGCCAGAAAACACACACACACACACACACACACACACACACACACACACCATGAGTTCCCTCTTACTACCTGTAGTAGTTGTTGTTGCTGCTGCTGCAGTTGTGTGTGGATTGCTTATATCTTGTGATAATCTCGTCAAGTGTGAAGTATGGCACTTGTGTTCATTTTGCTATGGATGCACAGAATGGGCAACCAACACAGTTTACACCTTGCAGAATGCTACACTCTCTGCATAAAAACCTTTTCACGTGAAGATTCTTGTAGGGGGCGGGTATCATCTCTGGGGTAACTTTGCTGTAGCTTGAAGATGATGTGCTAGCCTAGACTCTGACTTACAGGCAAACGATGCCCTCTAATGTACACTTGTGGTATTCAATCATATCTAGAACTGAAACCAAGATGTTGTGCTTTCCCACTCAGCGTTGATCACCACCCCACCCAAAATATGATCAGAGAGCTCAACGGGAGCCAAGTCTCAACTGCAAACTCAGTTTCCCAAGCCAGACAGTAGTGAAAGAGCACACATTCAATGAGAGTTCCACCACAAACTTGAACCTTTTTAACAAACAGGCTCCCCAACTTCCCTAAGTGGCAAGAACTTCCAGGGTCGGTGTCACCCCATGTTTCCTTCCCTTTGGGCAAGAGAGCACTGATGATGGGTGGCTTTTATTTGTAATATTTGCTTTTATTTGCATATAAAGTGGGACCGTCAACAGATTGTAAGGTGTGGCTGTTTAGGCTTCTAGCCACCCCAGTCTATCCACCACTCACATCATGTGGCCCCTGGAAGGTTGCCCAATTGAGAATGTGGCCCTTGGCTGGAGAATGGGTTCACCATCAGAGGAATTCACCACCCTATTTGTTTCTGTTTGTGACTAACTGCTCTGAGCGTGCCTCTGGAATGGAAAGAGGCAAGACCAAGGAAGTGACTCATTCCAAGATGCAAAAAGGTCAAATTTCAGCTATGAATCATAGATGTGAATCATACCTCTGGAAGCAACACTAGAGGTTCCCATTTGGGTCAAATCAGGGTTTCTATCTCCGACTTGAGAGTGGTGAACTTTCCTGAGGCCTAAGAGTCACAAAATGGCAGTGTGGGGACGGAGACCATGACAAAACAATGGCAGATGGCAGCAAAGTTTGGCATAGTGAATTGCCCATTATTGACATTGCTGATCAGGTATAGGGGTGAAGAAAGGAGACAGTATTGGCAAAACCTATTGGTGTTTCGCAACTTTCCAACTAGTTGCAGGACCTTAGCCAGACCTAGCAGAGTACACACAGAATCCACGGAAGCAATTGGCAACTTGGCTGCAGACAGGATAGACGAAGCAGGAACCAGGAACTTGTAGTTAGGTGTTTATTATATACAGTGGACTATTTACAGGAACAGAACACATATCTTTTGCTAGCTCTCTCTGACACGACTCACAACTCCTACACTGACACACAGAACTCTGAACCTCTGAACTCTGAACTAACGCATTCCAGTTAGTAGGCCATTAATTATCACTCCCTTGAGAGAGCTTGACCAATCAGGGAACTCTCTCCATGTCTCTGTTATCACCAGGCAGACTTACTCCTTATGTTTGCCTTCTGGCTTTCTGCCAAACCTTAATTGACTCTGTGTGAGTAGCTGCACATGCACAGTTTCCCAACAACAGGAAGAATTTTTCCTCTCTTTCTCCTAAAGCTAGGTATCAGGGCCCTTCAGTGAAGCTGAACTTTGGATGATTCAGGACAAAAAAAAGAAATTACTTCCTTCACACAGCACATAGTTAAACTGTGGAACTCTGTGATGACCACTAACTAATCCTTTAAAAAGGATTAGACAGATCCATGGAGGTAAAGGCTATCGAGGGCAATGTTACTGCCAGCGGCAGTATTCACCTAAGTATCAGTTGTGGGAGTTAAATGTTTGAGAAGTACAGGTCTCTAGGCTGGCTTCTGAGAACAGAAGGATACTGTGCTGGTCCCAAGGGTTAACCATGCGGCGAGGTCCAAGTCCAGTCCGAGGTCGAGGGTGTGGTATGGAGGCTGTCCGTCAAGGCTGAAGCGGGGTCCAAGGCAGGGAGTCGGGTGAGGTCAGGAACTCTGGCAGAAGAGCAGGACAGGGTGCAGGCAGGAACAGGCTACCAACAATGTTGCTCCCGCAACCTGGGACTGGGCTGGCTGGCTTTTATCTGCCCCGAGGCATAGGGTGGTTCCGATCCACAGGTGACTCACCTCTCCTGGCCTGGAGGCGAGCACTCCTCCTGCGAGAACTTAGTTCCCTCCGCCTCTCTGCCCTGAGCCTCTGCAGCTCAGGAGAGGCTGGAGGGTTACTGGACCCAGAGGCAACCTCACCTTCCCCTGATGGGGCTGAGAGTGGAGCACCTGCAGGCAATGGGCCTTCCATCACCTCAGGGGCCAGAGCAGACTCAGCTGGTGCCTGCACCTGGGGATCCAGCACAGGTGCGGGCCCTTCAGGCTCAAGTCCCAGCCCGGGCTCAGCTGGTTCTGGAGGCGGGGACTCCTGTGCAGGCTGGGATTCCTCAGGTTCAGCCTCCGAGTCCGAATCCCAAGCCATCACAGATGGCCTAGACAGGCCTTTGGCCTAATCCAACAGGACTTTTCTTATTGACTTATTATTTTCCACTGATATCTATTTCCCTTTGGAAATACTTCATTCTTTACTGCAGTGACCAACTTCTTTGTTCTCCCCTTTCCTTCCTTTTCTCCCCTCCCATTTTGCCTGGGACAGACAGACTCCTACCTTGCTCTCTAGCCAAGCACCTACTCTCATGAACCTATGTGCTGTGCATGCAAAGAGCTATTGGCACTGGTGTTGGTTCAACTGAAAGGCAAAGTCATCTCAGTGAAGCCCACCAGAAAGAGGGTGAACATAGTGGTCCTCAGCCTCCAGCTTTGAGAAACGTTGGGTTAAATAGTCCATCCCCATGTTCTGTGTCCCTCTGTTGGGAAAGAATCTGCTCTGGATCCACACAGTTCATTGCACTACAGTGCCTGCCACTGAGTCAGCCAGAAATAACCCACTTTTGAATAGTGGAAGTTTGTCTTCAGCACCAAGGACAGCACCTACCAATTTATGCCAAGATCAATTGCGACAGGGACCCAAAGGATAGCAACATTTCAATTCTGCACACCTAAAGGACATTTGGACTCTGGTTCTGAAAGTATCAGGCCCCTGTGATCTAATATACGATATTTATTAAGATTTTTAAAAATATTACAATAAAAATGGGGGGGGAATGACAAAAATACAAAATAAAAATAGTTAAAAACACACAGATTTTCCATTACTTATTTTCCTTTGACTTATTTCCCGGACCTCCTCATACCTCCCTTTTTGTATTCCACTTCAATCTGTTGGTTCAGCAAATCCTTTAAAAGTAATAATATTAAATTTTACCTATTTATAACCCTTTTTCATATTCCCTTAAAGCATTACAGCTGGAAACCACTTAATTACTATCCAACATCATTCTAACATTCATTAATTTTACAATATTTCTGTAGATAATCTTTGAATTTCTTCCAATCTTCTTCCACCGACTCTTCTCCCTGGTCTTGGATTCTGCCAGTCATTTCTGCCAGTTCCATATAGTCCATCGCCTTCATCTGCCATTCTTCCAGAGTGGGTAGATCTTGTGTCTTCCAATACTTTGCAATGAGTATTCTTGCTGCTGTTGTGGCATACATAAAAAAAGTTCTGTCCTTCTTTGGCACCAATTGGCCGACTATGCCTAGGAGAAAGGCCTCTGGTTTCTTCAAGAAGGTATGTTTAAATACCTTTTTCAGTTCATTATATATCATTTCCCAGAAGGCCTTAATCCTTGGGCACGTCCACCAAAGGTGAAAGAATGTACCTTCAGTTTCTTTACATTTCCAGCATTTATTGTCGGGCAAATGATAGATTTTTGCAAGCTTGACTGGGGTCATGTACCACCTGTATATCATTTTCATAATATTCTCTCTTAGGACATTACATGCTGTAAACTTCATACCTGTGGTCCATAACTGTTCCCAGTCAGCAAACATAATATTATGTCCAACATCTTGTGCCCATTTAATCATAGCAGATTTCACCGTTTCATCCTGAGTATTCCATTTCAACAGCAAGTTATACATAGATGCCCCTGTGATCTATGGCAAACCAATGTTTGAAAAATTTGAGATGCATTTTGTGATATGGCCCCGGCGCCTGCTGTTCAAAAACGAACTTTTTTTTTTAAGGCAATCACAAACCCAGTGGGTATGCAATGCATATTAGCTGTTTGGATCCTAGCCCAAATCTTCTGCACAAGGTGGAGAATTTTAATTAAGCCATTAAAACTATCCATAATAGCATCAAGTAAACAGAGAAAGCTAAACCTAAGGAATATATTTCATAATCTAGATATGTGACACCAAAAAATGCTAGAGATTCTCTCTATATATGGATATTAATTAAATCATTTTTATTCAAGTCCATGATTCTTCCAGTATACAATAAAATTCACCAAGGTGGTGTTGGTGTTTTAATGACTGTCTGAGCTTACTCATATTTGATTAATAAGAAATTAGAAATAATGGCAAACTTGATGGCTACGCACCCTGGGACCTTATGGTGAAGGATGGGAAGTAAATATATATTGTCACCATAATTTGTAAAACCACTAAGGTAGGGCAGGAAAACAGAGGCGACAGACCTGTGGCCCTTCAGATGTTAGACTGTCAACAACTCCCATCAGTCCCACTCACCATGGCCGATGGCGGTGGGATTTTCAGTTCAGAAACCCTTAAACAGACATAGGTTCCTTATTCCTGGGTCTAAAGTTAAGGGCTTCTGCATACTGAAGGGGCACAGTGGAGGGGGAAGGGAGACAAAACTCAAAAGCCCATTCTGATATAGTACCTTCCTTCTGCGGTCCATTGTGGAGTCAAAAACAGGAAGGGGGTTTGACTTAAAGCACTGTCCATCACAGCTTCCCTCTCCCTTGAACGCTGCCTGAATCTGACCACACGGGTCAAATGTTTCACAGTGCAGTGTGTCATCGTGATTAAGAGCTAGCATGCTCCCAGGCTGTGGGTGTCACCAGGCATGAAACAGTTAATCTGTCCTGATGTCACAATGCTCAATGTCAGGAAGAGGTGTCAAGCCTGCCCACCCCTCCTCTGGCTGCCATTGTCTGTGCAAGGCAGTTTGTGGCTGGGGTGAGCCGCTTTCTAAGTGGGACATACTATGGAAGACACAAGAGCTTCCCACACTGGAGGAATGGCAGATGAAACTGATGGACTATATGGAACTGGCGGAAATGACTGGTAGAATCCGTGACCAGGGAGAAGAGTCGGTGGAGGAAGATTGGAAGAAATTCAAAGACTATCTGCAGAAACATTGCAAAATTAAAGAATGTTAGAGTGATGTTGGATTGAAAATAAGTGGCTTCCAGCTGTACAGGATTTAAAGTTATAGATAGATTAAGATTAAGGATTAGGATTAAAAAAGTTTAAGGAAATGGAAATTTGGTTTTAAGAGGTAAAATTTTAATGTTATATTATATTAAGACTAAAGATTGGGATTAAAAAAAGAGGGAAAGAAATTGCTGGACAAACAATTTGAACTGGAATACAAAAGAGGGAGGTATGAGGAGGTCCAGAAAATAAGTAAATTTAAAAATGAAGATGAAAAGGTGATATTATTTTTAACTGTTGTTTTTTTTTTTTGTCTTTTGTTTTTTCTTTTTTTTTCTTTTTTGGATTATGTATTGTGTATTTTTTGAATTGTGTATTTCTTTTTTATGTTCTATGTTTAATTTTTTATGGAAACTTTAATAAATATCATTTTAAAAAAAACAAAAAACTAAGTGGGAGATACTGGGTGTGTGTGTGTTGGGAGAACTCTTTTGTCCAACTTAACTAACAGTGCAAGCCTCGCCTACAGACTGGAGCTGGTATGCTGGAATGGTTATTTTTTTTACAAAAATTTTATTGGTTTTTACAATATCAACGGCGGTGTGCTGGAATGGTTAAGGGCATAAGCTATGAGCTGGAAGCCTGCTGTTCATATCTCAGAGGTGTGAACTCAGATAGTCTTCTCTCTTTTTAAATTTTTTTTTTTAAAAAAAATCTCTCTTTTTTTAAAAAAAAATTTAAATTGGTTTTCATAACATTATAAACAAACACATAAGACAAACAAACATAAATCATAGCCTTATTAAAAATTACACTTATTAACATTGTTAAGTGACTTCCTCGCATCCTCTTGGTTGAATTTCATTGCATATCCTTTTAACGGTTTTCCAAATCACAGTTCTTATAAAATTTAACTTAAACATTAACATCCTTAAATCTTCACATTATGAAATTAAACATATTAATTCATCACTTAACATAAATAAAATCCTAAGCCAATTAAGTATCTGCAAGCTGTTTTCAGTTAATTTAACTTAACATATTTAACTAAGTAATCATTAAATTTAATCCACTCTTCCTGATACTCCTCCTCTTTCTGGTTGCGGACTCTTCTGGTTACGTTGGCTAGCTCCGAAAAATCCATCATCTTCATCTGCCATTCTTCTATCGTTGGTAATTCTTGGGTTCAGATAGTCTTCTCTCTGTCACAGTGGGATTAACAATACCAGCCTACCTTCTAGGTTTGCTGTACAGGTAGCTGAGATAATGTATGAGTATGATACAAAGTGCTGTGAGTATGATATAAACATATTGGTTTTATTGGTTTGTTTCAGACTGATCTTCTGGAAGACCTTTGGCCACGATTGAGTCAGTCAGTACAAGCCTCTGATGGTAAGCGATGATTGGTTGTGCCAAAATCAAGAAATTAAGGTCTTTGATGTGTGTCTTTGGAAGAAGCTGCCCAGTCCTCCCCTCACTATGACTGTTTCCTTTGAAGCTTAATAGCTGCTATCTTTAAAAAAATAAAAATGGGAGCAAACATAAGAGCATTAAGCCCAGAGTCCAAAATGACCTAATTGTGCCACTGCAGCTTAAAGGATAGGAGGTGTTCGGGCTGAGAAGAATAGCTCTGCAGGGTTATGCATTCTCCAAGTCTAATTAAACACACACACACACACACACACACACACACACACAAACACAAACACACGACCCATTCTGAATGGAACTGCTCCAGTGCTTAGGCTTTGAACGCATATTCACTGTACTAATATAGGGAATAATTCAATTGTCAGATATATAACAAACTTATATTGTGGAGGCAGAGATTTTACTTTCTTGGGCTTCATGATCACTGCAGATGGTGACAACGGTCACAAAATTAAAAGACGCCTGCTTCTTGAGAGAAAAGCGATGACAAACCTAGACAGCATCTTAAAAAGCAGAGACATCACCTTGCCAACAAAGGTCCGTATAGTAAAAGCTATGGTTTTCCCAGTAGTGATGTATGGAAGTGAGAGCTGGACTATAAAGAAGGCTGATCGCCGAAGAATTGATGCTTTTGAATTCTGGTGCTGGAGGAGACTCTTGAGAGTCCCATGGACTGCAAGAAGATCAAAAGTATCCATTCTGAAGGAAATCAGCCCTGAGTGTTCACTGGAAGGACGGATCATGAAGCTGAGGCTCCAATACTTTGGCCACCTCATGAGAAGAGAAGACTCCCTGGAAAAGACCCTGATGTTGGGAAAGATGGAGGGCACAAGGAGAAGGGGACGACAGAGGACGAGATGGCTGGACAGTGTTCTCGAAGCTACCAGCATGAGTTTGACCAAACTGTGGGAGGCAGTGGAAGACAGGAGTGCCTGGCATGCTCTGATCCATGGTGTCACGAAGAGTCAGACACGACTAAACAACAACAAATACAGTGGTACCTCGGGTTACATATGCTTCAGGTTTCATACGCTTCAGGTTACAGACTCCACTTACCCAGAAATAGTGCTTCAGGTTAAGAACTTTGCTGCAGGATAAGAACAGTATTTGTGCTCCGGCGGGGCGGCGGCAGCAGGAGGCGCCATTAGCTAAAGTGGTGCTTCAGGTTAAGAACAGTTTCAGGTTAAGAACGGACCTCCGGAACGAATTAAGTGCTTAACCCGAGGTACCACTGTATTGTGTCTGCTTGTGCCAATGTGCTGCTATTTGGAAAATGGCCAGCAGGTGGCACCACCTAACTACTCCCACCCCCCACAACCCACATGGTAGGAAATCTTCCCAAATTCTGTCTCATGTGGCAGACTTTTGGAATTTAGAACACAAGAAGAATCCTGTTGGATCAGGCCAATGGCCCATTTCCTCCAGCATCCTCTTCTCTCAGTGGTCAGTCACATGTTCTGATGGGAAGCCAGCACGCAAGACCACAAACACCCTTGTCTGCTGCAATTGTATTCAGAAGCATACTTCAGAGTACAAATTCAGGGTTTATGTCAGAAAACTAATACAAAACTTTGGCTGGGAAAATTTTGTTTTGTTTCCCCCCAAAAATTTTTTAATTGATTTTCCAAAAACAAATAAACAAACAAACAAAAATCTCAACGGTATTTAAGCCAAACTTATTAACATTGTTATGTGACTTCCTCGCATCCCCCTGGTTGAATTTCAATGTATATCATTTTAACAGTTTTCCAAAACCAATATTCTTATAAAATTAACTTAGTCACTTAACATCTTTTTTTTTTCTTTCTAGTTCGGCAATTAAACATATTAATTCATCACATTACATATGTAAGTCCTAAGCCTACCTGGTATTTGCAAGCTTCTCCAATTAATTTAACTTAACATATTTAACTAAATAATCTTTAACTTTTGTCCATTCTTCCTGATAATCCTCCTCCTTCTGGTCATGGACTCTTCCAGTCAGGTCGGCTAGCTCCCAAAAATCCATCATCTACATCTGCCAATCTTCTACTGTTGGTACTTCTTGTGTTTTCCAATTCTTAGCTAATAAAATTCGAGCAGAAGTTGTGGCATAGAAAAATAATTTCACATCTTTCTTGGGCAGTTCCAAACCTGTTGTTCCAAGAAGAAAGGCCTCTGGTTTCTTAATAAATGTATATTTCAACATTTTTTTCAATTCATTATAAATCTTCTCCCAGCAGTCTTTCCCCTTGGGGCAGGTCCACCACATATGATAGAAGGTACCCTCCTTTTCTTTACATTTCCATGGCTGGGGAAGTTTTGAGAGGATATCAGACTTTAGGGTTGAAACATGCAAAGATACGAGAAAACTTTTGACAGTAAGAGCTGTTCAACAGTGGAACAGTCTCCCTCAGGAGGTTGCGGACACTCCTTCTTTGGAGGTTTTTAAGCAGAGGTTGTCATAGATGCTTTAGCTGAGATTCCTGCATTGCAGGGGGTTGGACTAGATGACCCCAGGGTCCCTCCCAACTCTATTATTTTGTAAACCGCAAATGCTTCTCTACACCAGTTTAGAAACATTTTCCTCCCCCCACAAGCTTTATATACTCTCTTTCTCTCTGTAGCTTTATGCTAATATATATTTGTTTGTTTTGATCTGGAGTGATTTCAATAAACTTATGCTATTTCCATTTAAGCCTTTGTCCTTTCAAAGGGTCACAATTTTGGGCCACCCTCTTTGGTGAAATCACATGCATGGTGACCCCTGCAATGGGGCTCAGTTCTAGATAAGTTCACATATAAGACTGAAATTGTACTGTACCAAGTTGCATATGGCTAGGTAAAGGGACCCCTGACCATTAGGTCCAGTCACGGACGACTCTGGGGTTGCAGCGCTCATCTCACTTTATTGGCTGAGGGAGCTGGCGTACAGCTTCCGGGTCGTGGCCAGCATGACTAAGCCGCTTCTGGTGAACCAGAGCAGCGCACAGAAAAGTTGTTTACCTTCCTGCCGGAGAGGTACCTATTGATCTACTTGCACTTTGACGTGCTTTCGAACTGCTAGGTTGGCAGGAGCAGGGATCAAGCAACGGGAGCTCACCCCATCACGGGGATTCAAACCGGCAACCGTCTGATCGGCAAGTCCTAGGCTCTGTGGTTTAACCCACAGTGCCACGTGCATATGCCTACTCTGAAGCAAATCCCATTGAGTCCAAGTACCTGCGCATGGTGCTAGTCCCTGACCTCTCACTGCACCTCCAGAGGAGGCCAGGAACAATCTCCTGCTGCTCTTCTCTCCAGCTCCAAATATTCAATTATTCAGATATCCAAACCTGCAGACCATGGACCAGATCAACTTACCAAGCCACTTCAAAGGGCCCATCCCCAGAAAATTGGTGGCAATTCTTTTCCCTCTTGCAATGTCCCTCTCCTTCCTTTTGCACCCCCCACACGCTAGGAAGCTGAGATACTCAGGAAACAGGGACTACAATTCCTTTCTATTTTCTGAGCATCCCAACCTGTTATCAGTGGTGGCGGTGAAAGAGGGGTGAGATTGTATTTGCCTGGTAAGCACAGAGTCAGACTTTAAGCATCTCTGCCACAAGGTGGCACCATCTGCTCATTAGTCACCAGTGGATGCATCTCCCGCTTATCGGAGCCTTTCTTAAAAGCTAATTTTAAGTCCTCAATAGCCTATAAGCATCTAATAGGGACGTGTAATCGTTCTTAATGGAGATTAAAAAGCGCAAGAAGGGCACCTGCTATTTGAATGTGCTAGTTAATGTTGGTTTCGCATCTGCATTGCAGGCATAACAATATAAGGCGAGCCTTCTGGATCAGGTCTCATCCGGCATCCTGTTCTCATAGTAGCAGTGCTCTGGGGACTCTGCATTTGCTCAGAGGCATTCTCTGCTCCAGTAGTGAACTTTGGCATTCAGATCAGAACAGGTCCCGGGTCTGCGCTCCAAGGAAGTTTGGTTATACGTTCATTCATATATTCCAGGCATGTCCAACTCCCAAGAGACTGTGATCTACTTCCGCTATAAAAAATCTGACAGTGATCTACCCGTTTGGGTAGGAAAACACAAAGTTGTGAGGTTTTCTTTGTGGGGGGCATCAATGAGGCAATCAGGATGACGCAATCGACCGGGGGCGCCCCGCAATCGACTGATAGATCAATTGACTGGGCATGCCTGATATATTCCATTTCAGTCCTGTTCCTCATCAGTTTATGATCCCATTGCAGGTTAAAACATTAAACATAATAATTTTAATTTTAATTATTTTTCTCTGCCCATCTACCTGTGTTGCCAAAGAATAAATTAATTAAAATTGAAGACTCTCTTGTCTAACAGAGCAGGCATGCTATCTGCTGAACTCATTCAGATTAGAGCCCTGATATTTAGGAGATTGGGACGCGAGTGGTGCTGTGGGTTAAACCACAGAGCCTAGGACTTGCCGATCAGAAGGTCGGCGGTTCGAATCCCCACGACAGGGTGAGCTCCCGTTGCTCGGTCCCTGCTCCTGCCAACCTAGCAGTTCAAAAGCACGTCAAAGTGCAAGCAGATAAATAGGTACCGCTCTGGCGGGAAGGTAAACGGCGTTTCTGTGCGCTGCTCTGGTTTGCCAGAAGCGGCTTAGTCATGCTGGCCACATGACCCGGAAGCTGTATGCTGGCTCCCTCGGCCAATAAAGCGAGATGAGCACTGCAACCCCAGAGTCAGTCACGACTGGACCTAATGTTTAGGGGTCCTTTTACCTTACTATTTAGAAGATTGTGCTGCAGCAGAGCATCACCACAATGGAGACATTGACCTCTGATAAAGGGGAAAGTCTGACTGACCTCCAGAGCAAACCCTGATGCTAAAATCTGGGGAATTCCCCCCCTCTTTCTGCCCAGATCCCCACCCCTGGTGAGGCCCCCTCACAAGACTTGCATAGCCTGCAGTTACCCAAGCCCTGAGCTTCTACTTCCTGTCGGTTATTTTGGAGAAACTGGAAGTGACTGGTTTGCTTAGAGTCACCATTAGACCTTTAGAAGGGAAGGGGAAACTGCGTAACAAGACAGAAATTACAAAAATCTCTGACAGGCAGGAATAGCAAATGCGGGGTGGGGTGGGGGTGGGGGGTTATCAACCAAATTGGCAGGGAGAGCAAAGAGCAGGCGTGCCATTGTGTGAAAGCAGGACTGGCGACTCCAACAGTGTCCCTGTGATTATTTCTCAGAAACACCTATATATCTGGTCAATATCTTGGTTGTGTGATATAGTAGCAGGCTTGTGTACTATGCATGCCAATTGTACAAGACCCTTTGTTTAGGAAGGAAGGAAGGAAGGAAGGAAGGAAGGAAGGAAGGAAGGAAGGCAAGATACTTTTCAACCTATGTTGGAAATACAGTGGTACCTTGGTTCTCAAATGTAATCCGTTCCAGAAGTCCGTTCGACCTCTGAAATGTTCAAAAAACAAGGCGTGGCTTCTGAATGGCTGCAGGAGCTTCCTGCACTCAAACGGAAGCCGCGTCGGATGTTCAGCTTCCGAAAAATGTTTGAAAACCGGAACATTTACTTCCCAGTTTTTGACATTCGGGAGCCAATTTGTTCATCAACTAAATTGTTCAAGAACCAAGGTTCCACTGTATTGTAATCATTCTTATGAGACATATTAGAGGCTGCACCCCGCTGTCTTTGCATGCAACCCCCCCCTTTGCATCTCACCAAAGCCAGCCACCCCACTCCTTACTCCTTGCCAAAGCCACCCCCTTCCTTCTTGCCAAAACTACTCCTGATACTTCTAATAAAAGCCCTCCCCATCCTCCTCACCAAATGTGAATGTGCCTTATATGGATGGCATAGATGATACACTTTGTACAAGAAAATCAGGGTGACTGCTCAATAAACCAGCCGTCCGGGGGAAGCCCCACAGATTTCAGTTCTGTAAATCTGACATCCTGCAGTCGTGTATGTGGGCTGGTTGGAAAGCCAGCAGCTCTGGGTCCCCACTGCCATTTGTAGGCAGCTGCCAGCTGCAAACTTCTCCACAAACCCCAGAAAGTCTCTTTCATTTTCTCCCCATGCCTGGCCGCTGCCATTCTCTACACACCACATCCTGTCTTAATTGAGGAAAGTGCAGTAATTGCTGAAGGAGCTCCAGATTGCATCAGTGCCTTTTACTGACAACAGGATATCCCTAAGTTAGGTGCTTTTCCTTCTTCCCCTTCTTCAGATGAGAACAGGGTGTTCCAGCAACACAGAACACTGTGTTCAAAGCAGGACATCCCTTATTTTTATTTTTTGCTCATAAAGCATAAATGACAATGACATTCAGCAGCAGCCATGCCCAGGGAGCCAGAAAAGGACACACTGGTTGAATTTTTGCTAATATGGAACCTTCAATGACACGGCATGAGAGCCTTAAAGAATGGTCATATCCATCAAATTCAGCTTCTTATTTTTCCAGCCTTTCTGTTCTGCTCTCTAGATTTCCACATCAGCTTGCAGTTTTCAATAATAATAATAATAATGTATTATTTATACCCCACCCATCTAATATATTATTTATACCCCACCCATCCTCAGCCACTCTGGGTGGCTTCCAAAAAAAATATTAAAATACTGTAATACATCAAACATTAAAAGCTTGCCTAAACAGGGCTGCCTTCAGATGTCTTCTAAAAGTCTGGTAGTTGTTGTTCTCTTTGACATCTGGTGGGAGGGCGTTCCACAGGGCGGGTGCCACTACCGAGAAGGCCCTCTGCCTAGTTCCCTGTAACTTGGCTTCTTGCAGTGAGGGAACCGCCAGAAGGCCCTCGGTGCTGGATCTCAGTGTCCAGGTAGAACGATGGGGGTGGAGACGCTCCTTCAGGTATACTGGACACAGGCCATTTAGGGCTTTAAAGGTCAGCACCAACACTTTGAATTGTGCTCGGAAACGTACTGGGAGCCAATGTAGATCTTTCAAGACTGGTGTTATATGGTCTCGGCAGCCGCTCCCAGTCACCAGTCTAGCCGCCGCATTCTGGATTAGTTCTAAAAAAAAAAGCAGAGTCCACGTGAAAACGGTCCAGCGTTTTTAGTGTGAATTTCTCCTAAAATACACATTCTTGCATGCCCTTTTGTCTAATGTACACATTCCTGCAGCCATTGCCCGCAAATTCCCCCAATTTTTAATGTGCTATTTTCACCCACGTATGCTTCTATAAAGCACACTTTACTCCAGTAGGTGTATCTTGTGCTTGGCTGGAGAAAGGCACTGCAAATTTACAAGAAGCACGGATTTCAAAGGATAGCTGTGTTTTGGTTCAGATATTGCTTCAGAAAGTCCAAATTCACCTGTAAATGTGAATGGAATGGAATTTCCCCCTCATCCCTACTTGTGTAATGGGGTGCACTTTCTCCCTCCTCCCAAAATCTGTTCTAGGGGTTTCCCCAACTCTCTCAAGCACATTTGATGCGGACGCAGGGGGAGAAGGGGGGGAGGGAATGTTCCATTGTGATGCAATATTTGAATGACATCCTATGTTTAGAACATGCACCCTGCAGCAAACATACAAGAAATGGTTGGGTAAGATGAGGAAGTGATGCAGAAAGACCCTCCAGTTATTGCAGTCTCTTGGTAATCCCTCTAAGACACTTCCTTCCATTCTGAAGAAATCATATGATACCATATGGAGAAACGGGGGAATGATGATTAATGGCAGACTTTTATGTAATCAAGACCGGCCCTCTCATTAGGCGTGGTGAAACGGCCAACCTCAGGTAGCAGACTTTGGGCTACCCATTTCCAGGCATCGTATTGGTTTTGAATACAGTGCTATGGAAGCTTGCTTTCCTGAGTGCAAGCTCCACAGAACCCCAACACTTTGTAAAGGTAAAGGTAAAGGGACCCCCTGATCATTAGGTCTAGTCGCAGACGACTCTGAGGTTGCAGCTCTCATCTCGCTTTATTGGCCGAGGGAGCCGGCGTATAGCTTCTGGGTCATGTGGCCAGCATGACTAAGCCTCTTCTGGCAAACCAGAGCAGCGCACGGGAACGCCGTTTACCTTCCTGCTGGAGCGGTACCTATTTATCTACTTGCACTTTTGACATGCTTTCGAACTGCTAGGTTGGCAGGAGCAGGGACCGAGCAACGGGAGCTAACCCTTAACATCTTAATGTCAGAAGAAGAAGAAGAAGAAGAAGAGGAGGAGTTTGGATTTGATATCCCGCCTTTCACTCCCTTTTAAGGAGTCTCAAAGCGGCTAAGATTCCTCCCCCACAACAAACAGTCTGTGAGGTAAGTGGGGCTGAGAGACTTCAAAGAAGTGTGACTAGTCCGAGGTCACCCAGCAGCTGCATGTGGAGGGGCAGAGACGTGAACCCTGTTCCCCAGATTACGAGACTACCGCTCTTAACCACTACACCACACTGGCTCTGTGTGGTAGGGTTAGGCTGAGAGTGACAAGTCCAAAGTACCCAGTGAGCCTTGTGACTGAATGGGAACTTGAACTTCCAACCCCCTTAAACACTACATCAAGATTTTTTTACATCTGTGCTAGGAAAAAACTTCATCAGTCAGTCTCTGACTGTTATAGAATCATATAATTGTAGAGTTGGAAGGGACCCAATGGCCATCTAGTCCAACCCCCTGCAATGCTGGAATCTCAACGCATGGTCCCCCATCCAATTTGAAACCATACTGGACCCTGCTTAGCTTTGCAAATGTGCTAGCAGTTTTACTGCTGCTGTTAAAAGTACAAAACTGCTCCTTCCCCATCTGTTTGGCGGGCATGAAAAGAAAGCCTATATTATAGAAAAACCTGTGCATTTCTCCCCACTCCCAGACAATAATGTGAATTGCTTTGAACTTTGAATCACTGCAGGCTCAATTGCAAATACACCTTGCGGTTTAAAAAGAAGAAGAAGAAGAAGAAATGAAAGTTCATGAGGTTATAACCGCTTTTTATTGGCTTTTAAAATGTAGGAGCTGCTACGGAACATCAGGCTAGATCCATACTTCAGCCAATGGGACTTCACTTAGCATGACTAATATGTCACAGTGATTTCAATAACTAATTAAATCTGGATCCAACTCATATAGTGTATCTAAGGTTGACGGGTTCAGGGAGAAAGTTCCTGTAGGTATATTGGCAGTGGAGATACGACAATTTCACGAGGTGTGAAATTTTCCCCCCCTTTATGGCAGCAAGATGGTGTGGAAACACATCACTAGTGAAGTGCACGAGTTCTCAGGACAAGTGCTTGTCTGTGTAAAAACTCTTCCTTGGGAACACAAGTCTTTCCCTCAAAGAATTCTGGGCATTGTACTTTGCCGTTCACAAATTTACAGTTCCCAGCAACCCTTAACAAGCTACAGTGCCCAGAATTCTTTGGGAGAAAAAATGGGCATTAAATAGGCTTCAAATGGACAGTGCAGATTCAAGATTTCTCCAATGAAAATCAGGATGACCTAAATAAATTTAATCATCATCATCATCATCATCATCATACCCCACCCATCTGACTGAGTTGCCCCAGCCACTCTGGGGAACTTCCAACATACAGGGTTAAGTACTTAATTCGTTCCGGAGGTCCATTCTTAACCTGAAACTGTTCTTAACCTGAAGCACCACTTTAGCTAATGGGGCCTCCTGCTGCTGCTGCGCCGCTAGAGCACGATTTCTGTTCTCATCCTGAAGCAAAGTTCTTAACCTGAAGCAATATTTCTGGGTTAGTGGAGTCTGTAACCTGAAGCGTATGTAACCGGAAGTACCACTGTATATAAAAACATAATGAGACATTAAACATTAAAAAACCTTCCCTATACAGGGCTGCCTTCAGATGTTTTCTAAAGGTTTTATAATTACGTACTTATCTCCTTGACTTGGGGTTTTTCAGAATCCTCAGAGCCTTTGGCAACACATAATTTATGAGGTTTTTCCAGCTAATGCTAAACTCCACATATTTTTACACCAAAGCAAAAGTCGCAAGTCTGTAAGTTTTCCATCTTGGGGCAATTGAAGTTCTGGCAGCCGCTAATGTTCATGTCAAGAGTTCCTGAGAGCTGATACCTTTCAATCAATCGTCCCAAAGATTTAATAAACAAACTTCAATGAAGTTGGAATGGGATTCATGTCATATGTAAGTTGGCCACTAATGATCTGTGTACTATTTATTTAATTTTTTCTATATTGCTCTGTACTGCAGGGGATTTAAAGCAGCTCAGGGCAAGAAACAGGATGGGCCCATTCTGCATGTTAGGAAAATAATAATAATAATAATAATAATAATAATAATAATAATTTATTATTTGTACCCCGCCCATCTGGCTGGGTCTCCTTAGCCACTCTGGGCGGCATTCCAACATTAAAATGTCACACATTAAAAACTTTCCTGAACAGGGCTGCCTTCAGATGTCTTCTGAATGTCAGGTAGTTGTTTATCTCTTTGACATCTGATGGGAGGGCGTTCCACAGGGCGAGCGACACTACTGAGAAGGCCCTCTACCTGGTTCCCTGTAGCTTTGACTCTCACAGTGAGGGAACAGCCAGAAGGCCCTTGGGGTGGACCTCTGTGACTGGGCTGAATAATGGGGGTGGAGACGCTCCTTCAGGTATACTGGGCCCAGGCCATTTAGGGCTTTAAAGGTCAGCACCAACACTTTTAATTGTGCTCGGAAACCTACTGGGAGCCAATGTAGGTCTTTCAGTACTGGTGTTATATGGTCTTGGCAGCCGCTCCCAGTCACCAGTCTAGCTGCCGCATTCTGGATTAGTTGTAGTTTCTGGGTCACCTTCAAAGGTAGCCCCACATAGAGCGCATCGCAGTAGTCCAAGTGGGAGATAACTAGAGCATGCACCACTCTGACAAGACAGTCCATGAGCAGGTAGGGTCTCAGCCTGCGTACCAGATGGAGCTGTTAAACAGCTGCCCTGGACACAGAATTGACCTGCGCCTCCATGGACAGCTGTGAGTCCAAAATGACTCCCAGGTTGCACACCTGGTCCTTCAGGGGCACAGTTACCCCATTCAGGACCAGGGAGTCCTCCACACCAGCCTGCCCCCTGTCCCCCAAGAACAGTACTTCTGTCTTGTCAGGATTCAACCTCAATCCATTAGCCGCCATCCATCCTCCAACCGCTCCAGGACCTTCGCTGCCTTCACCGGTTCTGATTTAAAAGAGAGGCAGAGCTGGGTATCATCCACTTATTGATGGAAACCCAGCCCAAACCCCCTGATGATCTCTCCCAGCGGCTTCATGTAGATGTTAAAAAGCATGGGGGAGAGGACGGAACCCTGAGGCACCCCACAAGTGAGGGCCCAGGGGTCTGAACACTCATCCCCCCCCCACTTTCTGGACACTGTCCAGGAGGAAGGAGCGGAACCACTGTATAACAGTGCCCCCAGCTCCTAGCTCCTCTAGATAAAATTATCACATTGTCACATTGCTTTTGAGCTAGGATCTTTCCCAGTAAGGTACTTAGCATCATGGTAAACCCTAACCAGTGCCAGTTTAGCACCTCTGAGTTTCTTATAGATATCCACAGCAGGAAGGGATAGCATGTGGGTCCAAACTAATGGAAAAACTTAGGAACAATCTTAACAAAATGAAAAAGCACAGTTGGGGCATAAAGGAGGAAAACAATGGTTTTCTGTTCCTTCACCACATCCTGATCCTTGGTCATATGCTCAATTTTGGACTATGACGTTGCACACAGCCATGTCAACATTTACGCAGAGACATTTACACATTTCCACATGAACTGACACCAAGCAAACACCCAGCGATTACCTGCCAAGGTGTTCTGTACCAGTAACACCAAGGAATTGTTGCTAATTGATTTTCACCGAATTTCCCCCCTGTTGGCTTTCTTTCAGTTTACCTTGTAAACCTGCCCCGGGACGAACGTGATGAAATATTATAAACGCCTTAAATAAATAAGGAGCATTGCAATGAAAGTTAATTATATAGGCTGCTATAGTCAAGGAGGAGAGCTTAAAAAAAATGTGGAGGCAATAGACTGGAGGCGCAGTTTTGTGGCACTGACCTCCTGGTTCATGTACACAAAGAATATGAGGCTTGGTAGCTCTCATGTTTTCTATCCTTGTGGATAGAAAATACAATGTTTTGTCCTCCCCCCCCCCCTTGGCCTTGCTCCTTTCCCTTTTTGCAGCAAGCAATTAAGCAGGGAAAGCTTTTTGTGGCATAGAGAAAAGCGGTATACAGATCCCATCTAGGTAAAGGTAAAGGGACCCCTGACCATTAGGTCCAGTCGTGGCCGACTCTGGGTTTGCGGCACTCATCTCACTTTATTGGCCGAGGGAGCTGGCATACAGCTTCCAGCAGCGGCGTAGCGTGGGTTGTCAGCACCCGGGGCAAGGCAAGTAATTTGCACCCCCTAACCCGGGGCAAGGCAAGTAATTTGCGCCCCCTAACCCGGGGCAAGGCAAGTAATTTGCGCCCCCTAACCCCTAACCTGCCGCCGCTGCCAGCTTCTTCTTGCTGCTGCCTGGGCTGGTCTGGTGTGGTTCTCTCCCGCGCTCCGCGCTGCGCTGGGTGGCCGCTGCACTGTCCCTCCCCCAGATAGTCCCTCGCTCTCTCTCTGCACCGCACGCCTGGCACCCACCCCCTCCACAGTGGGCGGCGACCCAGTGGCTCGGATCGGATTCGCACAGCCAGCACTGCAGTGAGAGAGAGTGAGTGAGCCAGGTAGGGGCAGAGAGCTGCGAGTGCGAGCGCGCCCCCCCCAGATGTTGCGCCCGGTGCGGCCGGCCCCCCCTGCACCCCCCACACTACGCCACTGGCTTCCAGGTCATGAGGCCAGCATGACTAAGCCGCTTCTGGCGAACCAGAGCAGCGCACGGAAATGCCGTTTACCTTCCCGTCGGAGCGGTAGCTATTTATCTACTTGCACTTTGACTTGCTTTCGAACTGCTAGGTTGGCAGGAGCAGGGACCGAGCAACGGGAGCTCACCCCGTCACAGGGATTCAAACCGCCGACCTTCTGATTGGCAAGTCCCAGGCTCTGTGGTTTAACCCACAGTGCCACCCGCGTCCCTAGATCCCATCTAGAACAAACCAAACGAAGGTGAAATCGTGGAGACAGGACTGGAAAGTATCATAGCACATCTTTATGAGGCGGGCTCCAGGAAAGTCACCTGTGCCATTAGCAGCCAGAAAATGAATAAGCAAATGTAATGGCACACAGGCAACAGAAAGTGGCTGCCCTGGGGAAGAAAAAGGTGATCCCCAGAATTTCTGTGTGCCAGGCTGCTGTCAAGACCATGCGAGTCTTTTTGGGGGCGCGGGAGAGAAGAGAGCATTTTCAAAGCTGTGCGATTTAGCAGCTCGGATCTGCAACTCCATCCTGTTCAGAGTGTAATGAGAATCCCAAATAAGTACATGCAAAGGCTTGCACTCTTTGTTAAACCTGATGTACCGCCGCAACTGTGTCGCTAAGCAAAGCTCTTGAGCAATCTAACAGACGGCATTGCCCAGCAAACCACAAGGAAAGTGGAACTGATCAGAAGAAACGTGGTCTATTTCTTACTATTTGTCGCATTTTAGCAACTCAGCTCAGGTCTAGAGATCAGGATCTAAATGACTTGGGTTCCAAAGACCTGAAGAAGTGCTGTTTTGCATAGGTGTTTAGATCTGCAGTTCCACTGCCCTGTAAAATCCATGGAGTGGCAGCGCAGGAGAGGGCCTTCTTTGTGGTGGCCCCCCGGCTCAGGAATGCCCCTCCAAGGTGCGTCTGGACTCATCAATGCTACATGTTGATGCCAGCCAACCCACATTTCCCCCCACAGGCCTCTGGGTATGGAGAATGAGATCAGGACACCCCTACTATTTCCAAGTTAACGTTTACATGCACTATGACTGACTAGTAACATGCTATACATAACCTGCTCTGGGTCAGCGTGCAGATGCATGGTCTATAAATACCAAATAAATAAGCTATTATTATAGATCGTTTTATTTCAAGGTTACAACGACAACATTTATGCAAATGCCATAATCCGACAGTGAAACATTTTCTAAATAGGCCAGCAACCAATATAATACATAGTGCAGGTATACTGGGTTTTGAAATGATCTAAATTATGATGTCCAAATGTGGGGACAATGAAAGCAGACCAGATGTACAGGAGGGAAATGAAGGGACTCAAGCTTTTATAGAAAAAGGAATCCCAGCAGAACTCAATTTTCTCACCCTTGATGCAAACCACCATGTGAGGTTCTGGTTGTTACATTTTTCTTTCTCCTTTGCATGCAGAATGTCCCAAATTCAATCCCTGGAATCTCCAGGCACTGCTGGGGTTATCCCCTGTCTGAAACCCGGAAAGCTGTTGCCAGTCGGTGTCAGTTATGTTGAGACCAATGATCTGACTGAGCGCAAGCTGTGTACAAAGCATGTGCAGGTTTTCAGGGAACAGATGGGAGTTTGAAAGAGAGATTTGAAGGAGAGAAAGAGGCACCATCATGGAGGTGATTGGGGAGGCAGTCCCAAACACGAGGGGCAGCCAGGGAGAACAGGTGGAGCCATTTGCGGGGCGAAAAGATTATTGGATAGCTGGGAATAGTGGTGCTGGATCAGCAAAGGCTATAGACAGGTGGATCACTGTGTCCCTCTAGGTCAGCCTTTCTCAACCTGTGGGTCCCCAGATGTTGTTGAACTACAACTCCCATCACCCCTAGCTAGCAAGGCCAGAGCTCAGGGATGATGGGAGTTGTAGTCCAACAACATCTGGGGACCCACAGGTTGAGAACCGCTGCTCTAAGTGTTGTTGGACAACAACTCCCATCTCACCTGACCATTGACTGGGCTGCCTGGGTGTACAAGCAGAGAGATAAGGAAAGGCAAAGCCATGGAGGGCTTTGAAGGCAAAGACAAAGTTCTTTTGCAAGACCTGGGAGCCAGTGGCGAACCAGTGAAAGCATTTATGGAGGGAGCTGCCATCATGTGATCAGATCCATGAGAAGGTGAATTGTCAACAGAGTGGTGCTGTGATAAATATAAATACGTATTTACAAAGCAGATTGGTTCAAAATACAGAGAGAGGGTTGTCTCCAAGGCTAGTCCTACTGAAATCGATGGAGCTACATTGGGCATTGGATGCAACCCATCAGCAGCAAAGTGCAGACCAGGCACTGCAGCCTCTTAGCTCCTATTAAAACTGGATTGTCCAGGGAGGAGAGACTTTGTGGAGGTACAACATTTGCTTTCGTATCTGAAGCTTGGCAAGTCCAAACAGTTTTTCTGTAATCCAGAAGGGAGGCCTCGCCACCAGCTTCAACAATATGCCAAAGGCGGGGCCCATTAAACCAGTTCAGTCTGATTTCCCTATTGCCCATAGGTGCCACAACAGAATATGGAATACAATTTACAATAATATACCGTAGCAAAAGAACAGGGCCCGCATCATGTGAAGGCCTGGATTAAAGAACTGGGAATCTAGTCCAGTGTGGAAAACCCAGTTAGCTTTTTTTGCTTTCTGGCGATATTCCAGCCCTGAGGGCAAACCAGGGTCGGTGGGAAGACCGTATCCCTCCTCTGGCGATGGAGAGTGGCCCGGCTCCCAGTTAGCGGTGGCAGCGGAACCTCTTTGCGAAGTTGTAGACCACGTCTCTGTAAGCCTCACGGAACTGGCGGTTCATAGCAGCATAAAGCACTGGATTGATGCAGCTGTTGAGCCAAGTAAGGTTGGCGGCGATCATGTGCAAGACGGTTGGAGCCCGGTTCTTGGCATCAAAGATGTTGATTAGCAGGAAGGGTATGTAGCAGATGACAAAGAAAAGGAAGACCACAAAGCACATGCGGGTCACCCGGCGGAATTCTGAGTTGCTGTCCTTGGCCTGGCACGGAGTAGCTTTCTTAGGAGGTGCTTCGCCATTCTGGGAAGCTGATGGGAGATTGGTACTGGCAGTCGACTCAGAGGACTGAGCCTCACAGGAGTGCTGGGAAGGACCTGCGCTGTCCACTCCGCTGTCAAGCTCTTGGTATCGTCCCGGTGCGGCTGAACTGGCACCAGCCACGTGGCCCTTCTTCAAGCTGGTCTTCTTCAGCTTGTATTGGTCCATGGCACGGGCGGCACTCTTGACTTTGCGGTGGATGAGGAAGTAGAAGATCCCGACGCAGCTGAGACCCACCACAAAGTAGAATCCCATGAGGATGGTGGTGTAGGGCCGTCCGCGGAGGCGGTGGAAGCTGCAGGTGCACACCTTGGGCACTAAGACATAGACGGACCACAGCGGCGCAAAACTGGCCAGGCCAGCAACCCAGGTGCCCAGGATGATGAGCATCGTCCCGAGGCGGGAGAAGATGCGGTCAAAGAGGGCGGTGTTGGCAATGATCAGGTAGCGGCTGATGGCGATGAGGCAGAGTGTCAAGATGGAGACGGAGTTGGAGACAAAGAGCAACATCCCAAAGACACGGCAGAAGTCGGCCCCTGCTCGCCAGTGGAGATGGAGGTAGGAGTCAACCGAGAAGGGCTGCAGGAAGGTGCAGTACAGAATGTCCGCCACAGTCAGGTTGACAATGAGGAGGTTGAAGCGTGTCTGCAGCTTGGCGTCAGCTGCGTAGGCCAGCAGGGTCAGCGCGTTGCCCACGGTGCCCACGATGGCCACCACAATGCCCCAACTCACTGCCACGTAGCGGTAGCCAACAATGGACGGGTCGTAGCAGGAGAAGTTGTTGGCATGATCCGCCATCTTGGGAGGAAGTGGTTATTGGCTATGCTGCCCTCTGGTGGAAAGGAAAGGTCAGGACCTAGCAGGTCAATATGCTACCTCTACAAGGAAATGAGAGAGAAAAAGATTTCAGTTTAAGCGTGTCAGGCTTCCAAGCACACAAATTAGCACTGACTCCAAGGCTGGCACAGGGAAATATTTCAAACAACACCTAATTAACTTGTCAGATGTTTTAGCACAGAATGTTGTCACGGCAACAAAGTTTCCCAGCAGCCACTTCAGATCTCCTTGTCCACCCAAAAAGCCACTTCTGGTCTGTCCAAGCCAGGTAGTAGTCATAGTCACTGCTACATTGCCAAGTGCTGAGGAAGCTGTGGCATTTTTGTTTTGGAGGGACAGGAGGCGGGCGGGTGTGGAGGACTCCCTGGTCCTGAATGGGGTAACTGTGCTCCTGAAGGACCAGGTGCATAGCCTGGGAGTCACAGGTCAATTCTGTGTCCAGGGCAGGTGTTTATCAGCTCCATCTGGTACACAGGTTGAGACCCTACCTGTCCACAGACTGTCTTGCCAGAGTGGTGCATGCTCTAGTTATCTCCCGCTTGGACTACTGCAATGCGCTCTACGTGGGGCTACCTTTGAAGGTGACACGGAAACTACAACTAATCCAGAATGCGGCAGCTAGACTGGTGACTTGGTGGCCGCCGAGACCACATAACACCGGTCTTGAAAGACCTACACTGGCTCCAAGTATGTTTCCGAGCACAATTCAAAGTGTTGGTGCTGACCTTTAAAGCCCTAAATGATCTCGGTCCAGTATATCTGAAGGGAAGGAGCGTCTCCACCCCCATCGTTCTGCCCGGACACTGAGGTCCAGCGCCGAGGGCCTTCTGGCGGTTCCCTCGCTATGAGAAGCCAAGTTACAGGGAACCAGGCAGAGGGCCTTCTCGGTAGTGGTACCCACCCTGTGGAATGCCCTCCCATCAGATGTCAAAGAGATAAACAACTATCTGACATTTAGAAGACATCTGAAGGCAGCCCTGTTTAGGGAAGCTTTTAATGTTTGATGTATTACTGTATTTTAATATTTGGTTGGAAGCTGCCCAGAGTGGCTGGGGAAGCTCAGCCAGGTGGGCGGGGTATAAATAAATTTTTATTTTTATCTCTGCCTCATCTCCCTGCCCCCCCTTTACAGGCTTCTTGCCTGTGGGCTACTGAGGCTGCGTACACACGATACCTTTAAGGCACATTCGAAGCACATTCATTCCCTCAGAGAATTCTGGGCACTGTAGTTTTCCTGTCACCGAGTTACCCTTCCCAGCAGAAACCCTCAACAAAACCACAGAATTCCTTGAGGGAAAGGATGTGCTTCAAATGTGCCTTAGAGTTATAGTGCACATGCCACTTGCGGCTAAGAGGCACATGCCACTGTGAAAGGACTCCCATCCCAGCTAAGCAGTTGCCACCATGGTGTAAGAAAGCCGGAAAGACCTGGAAACCAATGAGAAGCGTATCAAGAGCGAGAAAAGATTTCCTTGCCAGCCAGCCAGAAGCCTGAGGCCTCTGTCGCATGCGAGTTTCAACATGCGCAAGACTCTCTCTCATTTGCATCCCGGCTTTCTCCAGGGAAGAGAGAGAGATCAAAGCGCAACCCCATTCCTTCCTTTTTAAGGCCTAATTGGGACGTTGCCACGGAAACAGACGTCTCCAAATCGGTCCTGACAGGCACCATCCTCTACCTGGATGGCTCCGCTTTCAAGTTTGAGACTGAATGCCGGGGAGGTAGAGACAGAAAGGCAGGCGTCTGCCCCCCACAAAAGAGCCCTAGATAAGGTAGTCATCCTAAGCAGCTGGGAATGTCCAAACAGGTGCAACCGGCCCTAATGGATCTATTATTGTAGGACATGGACACACACACACATGCCCCCCTCTTCATGATGAAAAGTAGCCACACATTCTGCTTAGCTCTTTAACTTCTTTGGGTTGCCAACTGACCGGGCAGCGGGGGTGGGGGGGGACAACCCCAAGCCAGGCCTCATCTTCTGCCGAACGCAAGGGTGTGAAACCTCAAGTGATCTTCCAGGCCTCCTTATCTGGCTCCTGGCTCTCTCCGCTAGTGTTAAATAAATGATTTCTGTGCTGGGGATTCCATTGCTAGGAAGGGAGGTGTTGGTGTCTGAGCTTTTATTTTTCTCTACTGGCTAGTGGGTAAGAATGCAGTTTACTTTTTTATTACTTTGCTACCAGTGGGTGGGGACTGCTTTTTTTAAAATGCTGTACGGAATGGTCATGATTATATGTTTTCTTTTCTCTTCTCTCATATTCTCATTTAAAGGTAAAGGTAGAGGGACCCCTGACCATTAGGTCCAGTTGTGGCCGACTCTGGGGTTGCGGCGCTCATCTCGCTTTATTGGCCGAGGGAGCCGGTATACAGGTTCTGAGTCATGTGGCCAGCATGACTAAGCCGCTTCTGCCGAACCAGAGCAGTGCACGGAAACACTGTTTACCTTCCTGCTGGAGCGGTACCTATTTATCTACTTTCACTTTGACGTGCTTTCGAACTGCTAGGTTGGCAGGAGCAGGGACTGAGCAATGGGAGCTAACCCCGTCGTGGGGATTCGAACAGCCGACCTTCTGATCGGCAAGTTCTAGACTCTGTGGTTTAACCCACAGCGCCACCCACGTCCCAGCCCTATATAGGGAAGTCATTTAATATTTTTTATTATTATTTTGTATGTTGCAAGCTGCCCAGAGTGGCTGGGGCAACCTAGTCAGATAGGCGGGGTATAAATCTTATTAGTATTATTATTATTATTATTATTGAATAGGACACCCCTATTTTCAGCAGATAAATGTTGGAGGGAATGCGGAGGAATGTGTGAGCATGTGCAGAAGTAGCCTAGTGTACAGAGGTGAAGCTTAAATTCACTGCTCCATGTGTTTCTCCTATCACTGGCATGCGGTACCCGGAAGGTTGCCCAGTGACCACCCTTGAGGTTAAGAAAGAAAATGTTTCCCCAACCCTTGGCTTAATACAGGCATAGGCAAACCTCAGCCCTCCAGATGTTTTGGGACTACAACTCCCATCATCCCTAGCTAACAGGACCAGTGGTCAGGGATGATGGGAATTGTAGTCTCAAAACATCTGGAGGGCCTAGTTTGCCTATGCCTGGCTTCATATATTGGCTCAGTGTGGAGAAATCAACAGGAAAAGCCTGCTTCCTGTGTGGAGGGGCATGGAGATAATGATTGCTACATATTAAGGACTGCAAATCAAGCCCCTTTTAAAGGCACAGCTGCAGGTCACAGTTCAGATTCTGACAACCTTAGAGCCTCTAGAACAGGCTTCCTCAACCTCGGCCCTTCAGATGTTTTGAGACTACAACTTCCATTATCCCTGACCACTGGTCCTGCTAGCTAGGGATCATGGGAGTTGTAGGCCAAAAACATCTGGAGGGCCAAGATTGAGGAAGCCTGCTCTAGAATGATCACAGGCCAACATAGTGCCGTCCATATACTGTGGACTAAAACTCCCAGCAGTCCTAGCAAGCATGGTTAGGGGTGATGGGAGCTGTGGGTCCAACAGCATCTATAGCAGCCATAGGCAAACTCGGCCCTCCAGATGTTTTGGTACTACAACTCCCATCATCCCTAGCTAACAGGACCATTGGTCAGGGATGATGGGAATTGTAGTCTCAAAAGATCTGGAGGGCTGGGTTTGCCTATGCCTGATCTATAGGGCACTACATTGTTCACCCGTGCTCTAATTCAAGTGACCTCCCCACAAACTTTGCACAAACAAATCAAGACGGAGGCTCAATAAATGTGCAATAAACAAGCCATCTTGGAACTGAACTTAAATTACTCTGGAGATTATACAGCGCCAGATGTCTCCATGGGCAGTGTTCCATGCTCCATAAATGAAGAACATCACAAGAAAAGCATGCCGTCTGGGCATGTTCAAACAGCATTCTCAGGGCTAAGAGATCAGTTATGAGCCTCCTCCCTTTGCCCCATCCTCACTGCACCGCTGTGGCTTTTAACACCAGCTTCACACTCAGGAATACAGTCCATAAAGCCTTTACTCTCTTGTTTAAGCTCTGTGCCAGAAAAGGCTCCATTGCAGACAACTTTATAAGCCAGGGGCAGTCAATGTCACAACCTCCGGGTGCTTTGCACTACAGTTCCCACCAGTCCGCCTGATCATGTCGGTCTGCGATCAGGGATGATGTAGTTAAAAACACATGAAGAACATCACGACATTCCCTACCCCTGTTCTAAGCAGCCATGGCGCTAAACCAGACTTGCAAGTTAATATCAACTCTACGCACCTCTGAGAGACCTACAGAAAAATAACAGCAAAGCCACCAAAATATTTCAACTTAAAAACTTTAGATTCTCTTGCATGGAAACTTTAAGAATGTTAAGCAACTTACCGGGGAAAGATGAGCGTTTGGATCCAGAGATTATGCCTGATGTCCTACGTTTTGGACGGCTATTTATAAAGGTTCCTCACTGCCTCTGCTGAGAGGAGAAAAACTCCCAAGTGTCTAAACTCCCTGAAGCAACTTCCTCTTTCTCCGCAGGCTTGTAAATGTCTGACGCCCAGACCTGTGTGTACTCACAGTGCTTGAAATATGCTTGCATGTGCGCCTTTATGCAGGCTCGCCTGCAAATGTTTAGAGCAGAGATTTAAACAAATGTAAAAAAAGAAATAAATAAATTAAAGATTAACCCCAATTGGGCTGGGGTAGAAAGGGAGTGAGGAAAAACAAGGTGCTTTTCCCAGAATGCCACCAGGCTAGCAGTATTTTGCAGGAGTGATTCAAGTACATCCTGAAACTATAGGTGCAATAAATCTACATTTAGAAAACCTTGACTTTTTGAGATTTGGAAAGTGATGGGTATTGGGAGTGAAGCTAAAATACTTTCAGTTAGTTAGCTGAACACTAGAGGTGACACATGACAGAAAGGCAACCTTCCTTCTCAACTGATCTCTCTTAGTAACTACTTGTTGGTATACTGGATTACTTCCTTTCAGGTTTTTACGGTTTTCCTGTTTCTTCCCCAAGCTTTGTTAGTTCCAGCCAGTTGAGTATGTGCTAGTGTTAACTTCTTGATTCCATCTTGGCCACATGGAAACCCTATACTTAGAATGGTTTTGTTTCCCATGAGGTGACAAACCATAAGTTCTCTCTCTATGGAACAATCAATTATGTTAGCAAAGATTCTGAGCAGAAATTAAATAAGTGGGAGGCTGAGACTGGTTTACAGCCAGTGGAAACGCTTGTCTATTAATAACGACCTTCTAAAAAAACGAAGATCATGGCCACTGGTCCCATCACCTCCTGGCAAATAGACGGGGAAGAAAAGGAGGCAGTGAGAGGTTTTACTTTCTTGGGCTCCATGATCACTGCAGATGGTAACAGCAGCCACGAAATTAAAAGACGCCTGCTTCTTGGGAGAAAAGCAAAGACAAACCTAGACAGCATCTTAAAAAGCAGGGACATCACCTTGCCAACAAAGGTCCGTATAGTTAAAGCTATGGTTTTCCCAGTAGTGATGTATGGAAGTGAAAGCTGGACTGATCGCCGAAGAATTGATGCTTTTGAATTCTGGTGCTGGAGGAGACTCTTGAGAGTCCCATGGACTGCAAGAAGATCAAACCTATCCATTCTGGAGGAAATCAGCCCAGAGTGCTCCCAGGAAGGACAGATCCTGAAGCTGGGGCTCCAATACTTTGGCCACCTCATGAGAAGAGAAGACTCCCTGGAAAAGACCCTGATGTTGGGAAAGATGGAGGGCGCAAGGAGAAGGGGACGACAGAGGATGAGATGGTTGGACAGTGTTCTTGAAGCTACCAGCATGAGTTTGACCAAACTGCGGGAGGCAGTGGAAGACAGGAGTGCCTGGCGTGCTCTGGTCCAAGGGGTCACGAAGAGTTGGACATGACTGAATGACTAAACAACAACAAAAACACACCTTTATTGAGTAGAGCTCCTCCTCCCGTTCTTCCCTCCTCTCCATCCTGTGCTATAATTTAAGTGCAGCAATGATTAAGGTCATTTTTAGCAGCCAGTTCCGTCTCTTTCAGAACCACAAACAGCTCTCACAATAGCAATTTCCTCAGCTATGTTCAAGGAGCTTTAGATCAAGTTGAATAGCAGCAAAGTGTGCTGAAATCATTGCTTCGTCATTTCGTTCATTGCCAGCAGGTGGTGCTATTGCTTCACGTTTCTGCGCTGTAAGAGATACTGTGGTTAAAGGGAATTGCAAAGAAAAGCAGCAAAAGGCCATAGTCCTGTGCACACTTAACTTGGAAGTGAGCAGCATTGAACACTGTGGGATTTACTTCTGAGTAGACTGGACTGCAACCTTAGGCTTTGTAGAGCCCATAAGCAACATACAGCTCATCTAGGATTTCCTCCACCCCCAAAATAGCAGATCAGCAAATGAATCCCATGGAGCACATGACCTTAGCACCTACAATTTAATGAACCATGAACCATTCTCAGACTGATTGATTAATTAATGCATTGAATCTGACTACAGGCATGATGTTTCTTTTGAAAGCACACACTTCAGTGAACTAGTATTCCCAACCACAAAGTTGATCAGCTCTAAATTCCATTTGACAGTGACAGATGATCACTTACATTGTAAGGTTCAAGAGTAAACACTGGTAAGATGAATACAGACTAGCAAGAACGATGCAACCCGTTGCATCAAGTAAGAGGAAGTGGGGTCACTCTCAATGTTGATGAATTCTTGACTTCAAGCCTGTTGCACAAGTCTATATTTTTTTAATCTCCAGCGATAAATTACTCAGACAAAGGCTTAGAGCTCAACCCAAACAAGAGAGGCCACCAGAAGAAAAGTTAAACACTTTAACAAGAATAAAACCATGCAGTTGTAAAAGATCCATAGTTGTGGGGGGAAGGCAAAGTAGGAGACAAACTTGAACACAGTAGAATGAATTCTCTATGTCCAAAAATAGAAGTCTTATTTCAGAGGTGAGGTGGGAAGGGGGAGAAAGAGAGATAGAGAATGGAAGGGGAGCAGCTGGAGCATTTCCAGATTGTGGGATAGCCAGCCTCATATAACCAACATGGTTCAATCTAATTGATGCATGAAGGGGTTAATACCATAGAGTAAGCTGTCCTGCCAAGCTTAGTGAGGTCACTTCCCCTTACCTTGGGAGGAAATGAGTAATCAGGCCTGTTGTTCAGTTTACCTGAGAAGCTCAAGTGTTTAGGAGGCTCTCAGAAGCTGCTCTTGAGTTCATCTACTAGTGATTTAGGAACTTTCACCACTAAGCCAAGTTTTACTGCCTGTGCAAATTTCTGGAGGACAGGAAACTGACCTTTGAAGAGTTTGTAAGTAAACCATTTTTAGTTTACCAAACATGGGTTTTTTTCCCCTCTGCTGGGGGAAGAGGGAAATTTTGGATCTCACAGGGGGCATATTTTAAAGGTCTAACAGCCTATATTTCACTCTGTTGCATGTCTCTGCTAGGGTTCTCTCACCAAAGTACATATTCCAAACATGGGTCTTGGCATCCAGGAATTCTCCTTTTATATACCTATTTTTTCCCCTTTGCACCAACACAGATGGCAGCAGAAATTGTTCTTTGTAGTTTATCCATTGACTTATTTGGGGTTTTACTAGTGCAAGTGCAATTCTGAATAATAATAATAATAATAATAATAATAATAAATAATAATAATAATAATAATAATAATAATAATTTATTATTTATACCCCGCCCATCTGGCTGAGTTTCCCCAGCCACTCTGGGCGGCTTCCAATCAAGTGTTAACAACAATACAGCATTAAATATTAAAAATTTCCCTAATCAAATCCTCATGAACTGAAAACCACAAAAAGGGTTTTTGTGTGTGCCATTGTTATGTGAATAGGAAGTAATCTCCAGCCCAGGGAGCACACAGTAGTAGGTGTGTGTGTGTGTGTGAGAGAGAGAGAGAGAGAGGGGAGGGGAGAGAGAGAGAGAGAGGTAAGGCTTCACCTGTTAGATTTCGGACTGCCATGTCCCCAAGCTGCTAACAGGATAGGAGCCTTGCCTGAGCAAAATGGGACACTAGAATAGGCCTGTTACGTTGGCCAATGTCAAGAGGCTCTGTGCCTTTAACTGCTGTGGGACAGGCACCAATTCAACAGGTGTAGCCTTTCCCTTCATTATGCCAGGAGAAGCTCCAGCTGTTTGCTTTGTACTTGTGATGAGGCTTGTCAGCTCTATAAGCCCCTGTAGTCTAGACTGAAGCTTCAGAAATCCTTTGGACCTCTCCAGTACCTTTTCAGGCAGAAATCCTACAAAAACACTCCTGCGTTCACCCCCCTTCCCCATCTGGTAAAAAACAAGAGCTGGCCCCAGCTGGCTGTTTGTGGTTTGGCCTGGGATGGGTGGAGGCCTGTTGGCTAGGAGAGCTATTTATCTAGCACATTTTGGGACGTTTCCACGATTCTTCTTCCTCTTTTTTTTAGCATGCCAAAGCTGTGGCTGTCAAGTGAGGGAAGAAAAGAGACTTTTCTTGGTGTAAACAGCATGCCACAGCACACTGCCGCAGCCGCGAGCTTAGCACGAGAGGAGGATAAAACTGGGAGTGGTGGAATTGGGGTTTCTTTCTCAAAAATATTATTCGGGGGCTTCGTATAAACCAGGCCTCACTCCCCTCCAGGGCTTCTTATATCGAAGGCTTCAGCCCTGGAACATGAGCAATGATGGACAAGGAGAAAGTACGGTACTTTTCCATTTATCACTGAGTAGCTGGTAGGTCCACTCATAATTTTCTGGGGTTAAAAGGAGAAATTTATGGTTGCCATGTCTGCACACACCACTCCAGGGCCCTGTTCCTGCGCCTTTAAGAGCGACCACACAATTGGGACATTAGCAGGTGAAACAGTTTCTGACAAGGAGGCATGAAGCAGACGGGGAAAGCTTCGCCTGGTTAACTTTTATTTGGCAGGGTGCTGTTGAGAAGCATCAGGAGCCAGGGCAGTAAAAGTGGCAACTCTATAGGAATTCTAGGGTGGAATCTAGACACAAATAAAAAATGCTGTGAAAAGGCTTTTTAAAAAATGTGTTTTGAAAAACATACTGTATTGAATTTGCCATAAGCTCACCAGTTAGTCTCCCATTTGTATAATGCACTTAAAAAGCCATATTTGCAGCTGTATTGCTAAGTCCCCAGTCACAGGATTTGGGTTCCTTCCAGGCGTCACAAAACGTCTTTGAAAAATGGACCACTGCAGTGCATTTTGGTGTAGCAAAGAATTGCGTGAGAGAGGATCTCAGACCCTCCAAGTGTCCCTGTTTTCCAGGGACAGTCACAGATTTACGGAAGCATTTGATCCTGGAATGTCCCGCTTTTCCTTAGGATGCTCCTAAATTCATTGGATAAATGTTGGAGGGTATGGACCTCTAGTGACCCCTGAGCCAAGGAGAAAAGTAATTATACAACCTGTAGAAGACATCTGAAGGCAGCCCTGTATGGGAAAGTTTTTAAATGTTTAATTATGCTTTTATAGTGTTCTCAAAGCTACCAGCATGAGTTTGACCAAACTGCGGGAGGCAGTGGAAGACAGGAGTGCCTGGCGTGCTCTGGTCCATGGGGTCACGAACAACAACAACAACAACAACAACAACACACACACACACACACACACACACACACACATATAAAAAGCCACCCTGAGTGGCTGGGCCAACCCAATCAGATGAGCAGGGCATAATTTTTTTAAAAAAATATCATCAATATTATGGAATAAAGGTAAAGGGACCCCTGACCATTAGGTCCAGTCGTGGCCGACTCTGGGGTTGTGGCGCTCATCTCGCTTTATTGGCCGAGGAAGCCGGCGTACAGCTTCCAGGTCAGGTGGCCAGCATGACTAAGCCGCTTCTGGCGAACCAGAGCAGCGCACGGAAACGCCGTTTACCTTCCTGCCGGAGTGGTACCTATTTATCTACTTGCACTTTGACGTGCTTTCGAACTGCTAGGTTGGCAGGAGCAGGGACCGAGCAACGGGAGCTCACCTTGTCGCAGGGATTCGAACCGCCGACCTTCTGATCGGCAAGTCCTAGGCTCTGTGGTTTAACCCACAGCGCCACCTGCGTCCCCAATATTATGGAATAAAGGTAAAGGTACCCCTGCCTGTACGGGCCAGTCGTGTCCGACTCTAGGGTTGTGCGCCCATCTCACTTAAGAGGCCGGGGGCCAGCGCTGTCCGCAGACACTTCCGGGTCACGTGGCCAGCGTGACAAGCTGCATCTGGCGAGCCAGCGCAGCACACGGAAACGCCGTTTACCTTCCCGCTATAAAGCGGTACCTATTTATCTACTTGCACCCGGGGGTGCTTTCGAACTGCTAGGTTGGCAGGCGCTGGGACCGAGCAACGGGAGCGCACCCCGCCGCGGGGATTCGAACCGCCGACCTGACGATCGGCAAGTCCTAGGCGCTGAGGTTTTACCCACAGCGCCACCCGCATCCCTACAATATTATGGAATAGGACGCCCCTATCTTTATTGGAGAAATTTTGGAGGGTATGGGATCTCTGCTAGGTTGCCATGTTTGATAGCAACCTCTTGTCCCTTTAACAGCAGCTTGATATGCAGCAATTAGCAAGTCCCCATCATTGGCATCACAGGAACAAGCCAAGCCAGGCCCCTCACCTCGCTGCCGGGTGGCAACCCTCATCTCCATGCATACCCCTTATGAGCAAAGTCCCTTGTGACATCATTTTGCATGATGGGGGGAAATGCTTGCAGTATAGTTAGGCTTGGTAGGCTATGAACACTGATGTCTACGACAGATCTGCTTCTTCCTCCGCAACATCTGCTGGATCCAGAGCCCTGGTCTAAAGTCTCCATCTTCCTAATTGTCCATGTGGGCGTGCATTTGGTATGTAAACCTCTGATCTGCCGCACAATCCTCAGTATGTTTACTCTGAAGGGAGCCTTGTGGATTTTACTCACTAGCTGAAAGTGTTTTGGCCGGCAGCCTTAAAAAGTTGGCTCCTTTTCATAAACTTTGGAGCCTTATAATGTGGTTAATATTGTTTCTGATGCCAGTCAGGGTGGGATTTTTTGAACCCGGATTCCCTTTGCTCCACAGCGTCCTCACTCTCAGGGGTGATGCGACGTGTCCTCTTTAGGTTTCAGAGCGGCTGAAGCCTGGGAGGTCACATGTGTTTATTTTCCAAGTGTACATATTTGTCTTGAGCTTTTCTGGATGCTGCAGAATAGATACCCTGTGTAAGCAAACATGAGCCTTGGCGGCGTTTTGCCACACTTGCCAAATCGGCAGAGATTTCAAGGGCTGAGCACGACAGATTCCAACATGGACCCATCCTTTTCTAACAAGGGACCTGGACCTGGAGAAAGGCAAGCATAACGCTGGTCTGTGTGTGTGTGTGTGTTGCTGCTTTGCAACTACAGAAGTATTTGAACCTCCCATAAGTCAATTGCAGAACTCCTCTCTGTGACCTGTTTATTCAGCATTCATCTTGATTTGTTTCCACAAATTTTACTTGGTGGCGAGAATCGCCTGGCTAGGGATGGAGAAGGAATTTGGCATTTAAAGGCAAACCTACCTACTTCTCCCTTTCCAAATATTATAATAATAATAATAATTAATAATGCATGAAGCAAAGCACAGCCATCCTTTGAAATTTGCACTTCTCCAAATTTAACAAACCAATTCTCCAGGCAAATACAGTGGTACCTCGGGTTACATACTTAATTCGTTCCGGAGGTCCGTTCTTAACCTGAAACTGTTCTTAACCTGAAGCACCACTTTAGCTAATGGGGCCTCCTGCTGCTGCCGCGCCGCTGGAGCACAATTTCTGTTCTCATCCTGAAGCAAAGTTCTTAACCCGAGGTACTATTTCTGGGTTAGCGGAGTCTGTAATCTGAAGCGTTTGTAACCTGAAGCGTATGTAACCCGAGGTACCACTGTACAGTAATGTGTACAGATATGCACATACTCTGGAAAGGGTTGGTTGATTTGGTTGTGGGAAGAACAATGCACACATGCCTTCCTCACCAGGCTCATGGTACGTTAGGAATTACCCCCAGGCAAGTAAGCAAAACATAGGATCTCAACCAAAGACCACAGTCTTATACACACACACACACACACACACACACACACACACACTTGGCCGCAAGCCCCATTGATCTTTGCAGGCTCTCCCATCTTTTTACTTTTGAGCAAATAACCATTAAAGGCAGGGAGGTCTTTTGGATGGGGACCACAGCCAGGGGAGGAAATACTCATTTTTTAAAAAGTGAAAATCTCTTCTCACTCCTGCAGCCTCTATTTTATTCTGTTATTAGTTATTCTGTCATGAGTGAATCCGATCAGGAACATGGCACTGTGGGGAAAGGGGGCAAATCTCCCACACACTTGGGGCCACAGTTCTGAGCCAAATCAACCTCTATGGCTGCCATTTGCTAAAATTCAAAGAGACAGTCATGGCTCGCCATTGCCTTGGTTAGTTAAATCATAAGTATGCAGACATGGGATCTACATGTGTTGCAATGCCCTCTTTGTTAATTAGTTGGGCTGATTTTTCATTGCTTCCTAAACCCAACCAAAGCTGCTCTCTCTGCATCCAGGAGAAGGTCACACAGCAGTCCATGAGAACTAGGATTGAAAGGATCCGTTCATTAATACGTGGATTCTGAATTGAACGCATCTGTGGCAAGAGAGAGCTAGTTTCCGGCACTGCTGCTGCCATCTCTCGATTTGGGCAATGTCTGATTGCAGAGAGAAACTGTTACCTACGTTCAACTTCCTCCAAAACAAAAATATTTGCGTGCCAAAATATTACCCACTTTATCTTCTCCTTGTTCTTCTGGTTCGTCTGCAAATGGGTGAATTAAGATGGATAGTTGCTTCACAGAATCTCCACATCTGTTGACAACAGCCCTTCATATACCCGGGCCCCTTGTTCTCCAGGGGTGCATCTGAGAGGAAATACTGTCTTCAGTTTCCAATCCTCTGCTTGGCTGCCTGCTTGGGCGCTACAGCTGAGCACAGCTGTGTATCTTCCGTTTGCCAAAGAAGCTTGGATGTTTTTACCTTTGGGGGCTTCCTTAATTCCTGTGCATCGGTTCAACGGAACAGAATTTAGAGGCACCCTCTTGCTCTTACAGGGAAAGACAGCTACAAGCTTCTGGGTGTAAATGTCGCCTGTGAGTGGGTGTAACAAAAACTCCAAGTCCGGCTGCTTCTCTGCAAAGCAGCACAAGGAGGAGGCAGCCTGGAATGAGCGGGAAAAGCTGTGCTTGACCCTTCTCCCACCGACTGCTTTCCCTCTTCCACCCGAAGCTGCTTTATTCCACCTGTGGGGTTTCAATCGCAGAATTGCCCTGACCCTTCTGCCCCTGCCTGTCTTCCCACCTCTATTTTCTGCCCCAGGCTGCTTTTCTCATCTTGGGTTCGAGACACACGGTCACCTTGCAAATAGCTATCTATTTATTACTATTCTAAAAATAAGTTTACCCAAAAGATGATGGTTGAATGCTGTAAAGCTACAGGGTGTGTTCCAATAAAGAACAAAAGGTACGCACTTGCCTTGAAACAAAAAGATCAATCCATTTCCCTTACATACAGTGTCAGTGAATTTATCGCATCCGGCAACTTCCAAAGCTTGAGTCAGCCATGCTCTAATAGCTGTAAAAGGCAATTTCGAGTGTTCCAGTTCCTAGCTAGAGCTATCCTGGCTGAGACTAATAAATTCCAGATCGATAATCTAACAGGAAGGTGGGGAGAGAGAGATCTAACTTGTTGAGTAAAGATCACCCTAGAATCCAGATCAAACAATTATCTGGAGCACTGTGGGCAGGGGGGTGGGGTGGGGGCAGAGTGAGCAGCAGGGAGCAGCAAGTGCAGGGAGAAAAGCTGTGTTGGGTGAAGGGAGGGTTAAAAACACCTCTGCTGCTGCCCTGCTCTGAATCGCCCCTTCCCCTTGCTGCTTTGCAGTGAAAGTGCAACACTGAACATTTTTGTGTCAGGTTTAGCTAGACCAGGGTGCCCTCCAGATCTCCTAGACCTCAGTTCCCATCATCTCTAGCTACTGACCATGCTGGTTAGGGCTAACTGGAATTGAAACAAAATCTGGAGGGTCACAGGTCCCTGGATGGCCAACCTGGCATGGATGCTTTAATTGAGATTCCTGCATTGCAGGGGGTTGGGCTAGATGACCCTTGGGGTCCCTCCCAACTCTATAATTCAGACCTGGGTGTGCCTCTAGATCAGGGGTCAGCAACCAAAATAAACCCCCAAGACACTCTATTTTTTTTTTAAATGATATTTATTGAAAATTTTTTAGAATTACAGAAAAAAACACAGCAGAAAAAGAAAAAAAAGAAAACAAAGAGAAAACAAACCACATCAAACAATGTAAATTCAAAAAAACAAAAATACACCACAAACAGATAAAAACAAATCCATCATTCTCGAATCCTCAACTTTCATTACCTTCTTTCTTTGACCTCCTCATCCTCCCTTTTTTTTGTATCCTAAGTTATTAATTATCGCAGCAAATCCTTTCCATATTTCATAATATTCTGTCATTACATTACCTTAATCTATTTTCATCTTATCTTATAGAAAACCTTAAAACTTAAAACTTAACTCTTATTTTTACCAACTTCTCATAACCATAATATTCTTACCTAATTCTTTAGACATTTTTGCTAGAGCCAAGTAATTTCGTTCCAACATTTTTCTAACATTCATCGATTTTATAAAACAATCCTAGTAATAAAAAGAAAGAAATAAAAACAATCCAATCTTCATCCAGCGTCCCTTCCTCCTGGTCCCGGGTTTTGTCAGTCCTCTTTATCCCATTGATCTAGCGCATTAACCTGGTAACCTTATATCCGAGGCCCTTAAGTCTCTTCCATGTCCCTTCCGCAGCTCTTCTTCATATTCTCCTTTCACACATGGGAACTCCAGCTTGGTAATGTTTTTGACCCTTTTCAACAAATCAGCCCCTTTTCCAAAGTCCAGACTAAACTCCATGTGGTATTTAAAAACATGTTTCAGAATCTCTCCAAGATTAAGAGCCCCCACAGCCCCAAACATCTCACGGCCCATTGCCAGACTTGGAAAGTCCAAACATCCCTGCATAGGGGGGTCTATCCAACCCCCCATTTCCAAACCAGTCCAAACCTTATCTTTCCAAATCTGGCTTTTTCCAAGTTCATTTGTCAAATCCAAAAGCTCATGTTCCTGCAGGGCCACAGCTCCCTCCATCTCTGGCGCCCAAGATTCAGCAACATCCTCTTCTCTCATCTGTTCTGTCAGGGCACACTCCTGGTTTAATTCCTGGGTGGGCTCCACATAGTTTCCCACTGCCTGTTCAAAAATTCTGACCGCATTAGTCATCAAATCCGTATTCTCATTTAACTGTTCCAGTAGGGCATTTGTTTTACAGAGAGCACACAACAGAGCTTCTGAATACATTGTCCTACAAGGTCACAAGTCTATTTCCCACGATTGTAATCTGTAACAGCTGCAAGCTCCCTGAAATTAGTTACAGTTTCACAGTCTCCCTCTAGGGGGAAAACTTCTATTTGTTCTTTCTTTTAAGGACGAATCTAGCAACAAGGTTTCCTTTTTGAGATATTTTGTCAATATTTGTTCCTTTAAAATGCGAAAGGGAACAGTGGAATCACTATGTTTCTCTTCTTTTAGCTATCTGTCAAAAGCGTTTGTCTCTGGTCAATGAGCTTCAAACGTCAGTCCTGACACCCCGCTCCAGGATCAGGACGGTGGAAAGTTACTTTACTTTAAACTCACTTCTGCAGGTTTAAACAGTCCGAAAAAGATCCCCCTTCTTCTCCTGCTTCCGAAGGGGGGTTCAACAATTTTAAATGATGAAAGTTAATCTTTTAGAAGTGATTTTCTGAGCTCTAGTTTACGTTGTCTTTGCTTTATTCTGTCTACAAAGAAAAGGAAGGCTGACTTCCTGTTTAGACCTTCCCGTTTCAGTGCCAAATTGAAGTAAATTTTTAAGTCCAATTCCTTTCTGCTCGCAAGTCCTTATTTAAAGTCCAATTGTCCGAAATTTAAGTACTCACGGGTGATTATTTTAGAAGCCAAATTGTCCCAGGAAAAAGGCAGCGCTCTCCGGCAACGGCTATGCGGCTTCGCTCCACGGAAAAGCAGTTGACTCTCAGCACCGCGCCACTTCCCTCTTCGCTTCGGAGCCCGTTAGTGGGTTCCTTTGCGGGTTGGGGGGGCGCTAAGGGTGCCCGCCGAGTCCCATGGTCACAGGCTTCATCCGCCTGTGATTTTTAAAAGGGTCCCCGCTTCGCCGTAGCGGAAAAGACCCGTTTCGTGCGGAGCTAGTCCCTCCGAATCAGAGGGAGTCCGCCATTGCCGAGGGCGCCAACCCGGAAATAACCCCCAAGTCACTCTAAAGCAGGGGTCAGCAAACTTCTTCAGCAGGTGGCTGGTCCACTGTCCCTCAGACCTTGTGGGGGGCCGGGCTATATTTTCTTTGGGGGGTGGGAATGAACGAATTCCTATGCCCCACAAATAACCCAGAGATGCATTTTAAATAAAAGCACACATTCTGCTCATGTAAAAACACCAGGCAGGCCCCACAAATAACCCAGATATGCATTTTAAATAAAAGGGCACATTCTACTCATGTAAAAACATGCTGATTCCCAGACCGTCCACGAGCCGGATTGAGAAGGCGATTGGGCCGCATCCGGCCCCCGGGCCTTAGATTGCCTCCCCCTGCTCTAGACGGTCTGTATTTTGTTGGAGGGATTCAAGTGCATGCTGGCACTTTAGTGCTCTTAACACCCTAGCGAAACAAATCCACTTAAAGCAAAAAGCAAAAACACCCCTCTGCGGTTTGGAAAGCGAAGAGGTAAATGCACTGAGAAGTGTGGAGGAATGAATGACTAATGGGAAGACTTAAGCATCCCACAAGCAATTAAGAAAGAATGCTCTTTGTTGTGTAACCAACCAGCAAACAAATCAAAAGGAATGCTCAATAAAGACCAGACATGGGCCACATTTGCACCATCCATTTGTCGTTGTTTAGACGTTTAGTCGTGTCCAACTCTTCGTGACCCCCTGGACCAGAGCACGCCAGGCACTCCTGTCTTCTACTGCCTCCCGTAATTTGGTCAAACTCATGCTGGTAGCTTCGAGAACACTGTCCAACCATCTTGTCCTCTGTTGTCCCCTTCTCCTTGTGCCCTCCATCTTTCCCAACATCAGGGTCTTTTCCAGGGAGTCTTCTCTTCTCATGAGGTGGCCAAAGTATTGGAGCCTCAGCTTCAGGATCTGTCCTTCCAGTGAGCACACAGGGCTGATTTCCTTCAGAATGGAACCATCCATTTAAAGAACTATTATACCACTTTAACAGTCATGGCTGGGATTTGATAAGAGACCACCATTTCCTTCCCAGAGTTTTCTGGGAAGAGGGACTGATTGTAACTCGCAGAATCCTTAAACTACAGTTCTTTGTGGAAAGCCATGAAAATTAAAAGTGGCTAAAGTCTAAATAAAAGGGCACATTCTACTCATGTAAAAACATGCTAAATTTACGGAAGCGGTTCAGGATGAATGCTCAATAAACAGGTCATCTGGAAGAATCCTTAATCTTTACTTCATTATTGCTTTGCTGCAGAAAGAGTTGCAGGTGATATTAATGCTTGTTTTGATTATGATGATGGACTATAGATAGTAGGACAGCTGTATGGGATGCATTTAAATCTGTCATTACTAGTGAGTGGTTCTTTGTGCCACAAAAGCAGGGAGAGACAGGACATGGATTTATTGTTAGGGC